ATTTTCAAAAAAACAAAAGGACGTTACTTTCCCTTTGTTACTAAGCCAAGTATAATAATAGTAATTATATGCCATATTGTAAATAATATTCTCTTATTTTCTAATAACGTCAGCAGCTGTTTTTATACTGTGTATAAAAGAACTAAATACTGTCGGCTAATAATTATGTCAAGCAATAAACCAGCTGTGGCCAGACTTTAGTCAATTGAAAATATGCCTTGATTATAATTTAAGTTCACTTAAAACATTGATTTTTGACAAACTATGAATTAAAACCCAGCAAGCTGTCTGACATAGGTTATATAAAACACTTCAGCATATAAAACTTTATTTCCACTAAATAACTCAAGGCAAGCTGTTAACATTTCTTGATTCTTAGTCATTACTAATGGGGCAATTTTGGCAAGCAACTTTACATTATTAAGACGATGAATGTCTAGTACATAAAATTCACAACCCTCTTCAAGCTAACAGTCATTACACTATTGGTGAATTATCACACCTTAAAAAGGGCGTATACATGTACTACGTCTCATCAATTTTACATAATATAATTATAGCCACAAGCTACATTTTTAAAATGACTCATGAGTTGATATCATGATCAATTGTACCAATGAGCATAATAATTATTTCATACATCATCGAGGCCCTGATCGAAAACGAGAAGGCTTCATTGACTAACGAGTAACGAGTATATATTTTTTAAAAAAATAATTGCATTTGTCTCTCCATCCATTAAAGGACAATATTGGTGCCAGTCATTATCACATACGTGATAGAGCTGGTTAAACACATTCCAAATATAATTTTAACACATAGATCATTGATACCAAGAAATCTTAGATTTCAGTCTCAACTTAACTTAGATGTGCCTACATGGAAATTGAAATCATTTGGATTCAAGTCCTTGGAAGTTGCAGCTGCAATTAAGTGGAATTCACTACCCGTTTCTCTCAAATCTGCACCGTCACTAACAGCATTTAAGTCACGTTTAAAGACATACTTGTTTAATACTTCATACAGATGAACTTAGTTTTGTTAGCGCTTTGAGCAGACACTTTGTTCTGGAGTTTAGCGCAATATAAGAATCCTTATTATTATTTATTATTATAGCTGAGTAAAACAGGTTTCCTGAATCGGAAGTGACGAACGCCAAAGGAAAACACGAGTCATATCTCTATATAACTGACTGATGTGACGAGTGATAACAGATACACGGCCGAATTTCTGCTCACTAATAATTCCTTCCAAGACCAAAAGTTGTTATATAGGACTGTAAGAGGATACCTGACAATTCAATAAAGTAACTGAATATCATGTTATAAGAGAACACGAGGAAAATAGAAATAGTCAGTACATTCCCTTGTTTATATTCATTATATACCTTATAAAAACATGGTAATGCACGGACTTTTTCTGTTTTTCTTTCGTGTTCTCTTATCTAGTGGCAGTCAATTCTTTTTAGGAATTGTCAGATATCCTCTCACAGTCTCACACAACAACTTTTGGTCTTGGAAGGAATTATTAGTTCTATCACATATGTGATAACGACTGACACCAATATTGTCCTTTAAAGGAGAAATAGCTAACATCACACATTTTGGTGACTTATCTTTGAGTCATCTCATTTCCATACCTTCTTTCTATCCATTGTTTAAGTTTAAACCTATAAACAATCCAGTTTCTTATATATGAGAATACACGCTATATAAATGAATACATGACTGATACGGAAATGAATCATTAACCCAGTTAGTTTTGTTGACAAATTTAGACATCCTTGTTTGATTCAGATGGATATTTTAAAACGTAACTAATTTTCTTTCTGTGCCTTTTCCCCAACAAACTCGGCATGCATTTTAAATACTAAACTTTGCAATATCAGTTTCAATATTTTCATAAAAAAAAAATTCACGAATTCCAAATCTCACTATTATAGACCTTATAACATCGATGAATTTCTTATATGAGGAACAGGCCGACATTTTTGCAACCAAGTGTATAATATTTGCCAACAAATGTTTTATACATGACTATTTTGCACTAACAGCATCATTTCCTTTAATTATGAAACACAGTCAGTGATAAATGTTGTATATTAGGCCCACCAACAGCACGGTATGGATGTTAGCCTTGTATGTGACTAGATAATTATTATGTTTACAAGTTATTATACATCAGTAAGGCTAACTTTATTTAGGTGGGAGGTTGGTAGTATTTATATTTCCCGGTGTAAATTAAATGGGGTTTAATATAATACTTTTCAGCACCAACCTGGCTAAGGAGGATGGTCACCATGTCTGTGCTATGAGTAAAATTTGGCCCCCGATAGTGGCGCTATGGTCTCCTCGTATTCCGATTCCCAACAGTCAGGGGGCGTTAGCGTGCAGACTCCCAGATTAGAGTTATTTACACAGGGTTATGTAGTTATAATAAAACACATGACGGGTGTAATGCTAAAAATAGTAAAATACACTGCTATAAATGTATTAATAAACCTACTTATCTTAATTTAATAATACGTTCTGAAAATTAATGTGCAACATAATGCAGCGCATATGAAATCGATATCAATGTTCTCGCCCGACAAATGCTATAAAAGTAAATTATAGATTCACCTACCATGCTAATTACGTCTAAAGGAATCCATAGTCTTAACACAACAGCGGTATTCTAGAAGTTATTATAGTGTAAGATACTAATCGAGGCCGGTTTGCAGAACTGGCTGCTGAAAACGTTTGCCTCGTTGTGGCGTGCCGCATACACGATATATTATAGTGGTCGGACGAATAATGTGTCTAGTAATAAAAGCGTTTCTAGTACTACAATATTCATTTATCGATCTTTAAGCTATGTAATGTTGACTGTTGTTTATGTTCTGTGCTAACAGAGATGTAAAACATATTACTATCCTCCCACTGGTTACTAGTGACACCTTTAGTCGTCCATAGTATAATATATAGATTTTCGACTGGGTTTTGTAAAACGTAAAAGAGGTATATCGATTAATTGTTTTCAATTATTTTTTTTATCAGTTTTCAAAGAAAATGTGTTCTCTACATCGAAAGGTGTCTTGGAAGGTATAGGGATAGAGAATAATAGTTGTATACATGAGCAAATAGTGTAACTCATCAGAATTATATACTGGACAAACACGAGTTCCATCGCAACCAGTAAATATTTTTTTTTATAAAGTATCCTAAATTTCTTCATAGACCAGGCTATGAAAGACAGTTATGGTATATGCAGCGTAGTGTACAGGAGAAAATGTACACAACGACAAAATTATTCATTCGTAAATTGTACACCAAAAAGTGAGCCGCACTTTACCTCAATGGGGCGCTTACTTGGTTTCTGAAATGCCCTGGACTTTGGGGAGAGATTTTGCAGAATTCTGATGGTCAGAAAACACCCCATTAATTCATTTAGTCTGAGACCGACTCCGGTGAGCACTTTTTTTTAGACCGACTATTTTTTTGCCATGGGGTGAAAAACATTTTTTTCAAACATGATAAGTCGACAAGGTTATTTTATACTAAAGTTTTGCGTGAGTAGAGTGACGTATGCAGTGAGCACTTATTTTAATACCGACTGCTCATATCTTACGACCGACTGCACTGATTTTGCGACCGACTTGTATTTGGGATCTATTCTGGCATTATTTGTTTACCTCATTAATTCATTAAGACGGCGATACATAATTTTGAGACCGACTGCAGTGACTGCACTTATTTTGAGACCGACTATTTTTCTCCCTGGGGGAAATTTTGTTCTTAGACCTACATACTCACAACAGAATAAGAGTGAAACCCATCATTTTTTCAAACATGATAAGTTGACAAGGTGTGTGTGTGTGTGTGTGTGTCTGTTGCAGGGGGGGGGGGGGGGCGTGAGTAACCTACTTCCATATACGTTGACAATTAAAGTTAATAAGGGAGACAACTACACTCAGTGGCGGGCACATAAAAGATCCCTTGACAGTTGGAATTCGACAAGAGTAGGACGTACCGCCGCTGTCGGGGAAATTTTCCCTCTTAGCACACTGCATAGGGCATGCCGTTCTTCATTAGCCCAGTATATGCAGAAAAGTAGGACGTTAAACCGCATTCCATTCCATTTCATCTCATTCCTGCACTTGTAACCTCTCATCTAGACTACGCTAATTCATTATTGGCTGGAACACAGATTGCGAGTTGCGCAGCATAATGCTGCTCGGATTATATGTAGAGCTCGAAAAAGGGAACACATCACAACCTATATGAACGATCTTCATTGGCTACCCGTAAAATCCCGCATCTATTTTAAAATACAGTGCAACACATACAATTCTCTATACTCCTATTCCCATCCATTCTATCTTAAAGAACTTCACACATATTATTCCAACCAATGATCTAATCTGAGATCAGCCGAGGACAGAACTCACCTTTCGATCCCAAAATTTAACAAACGAGTTGGCCATTTCTTATACCCCTGTAATTCTGCAAAACTCTGGAACAGTCTTCGTGTAACCATTAGACAATCAAATTCATATTATATATTTAAGCCTAAACTGAAAACTCATCTTTTCGGACAGTGTTATGATTAGTCTTGTGGAGCGCTTAGGAACATTTTGATATGTAATGTAGTGCAATATAAATGAAACGATAATAATAATAATAATTCCATATTCGACGCCAGATTTCGGTAAAGCAACAGAAAAATTAAAACCGGGACAAAACAGAGTTATCTCCCATAAACCTAGATAATCCTACCTGAACGAAGGGCAAGAAATATATCTGAACCATTAGAGAAGAATAGATGTTTCGATCTGTTTGAGTAACAGATACAGAATTATTAATAAATACAACAGCTTTTCACATCACATTGGAAAAAAACCCTACATGGACGTAGCCGGATAATTTGACTTTAAAGGAAGTACATATTAATAAAGCTGTTTGAAAAGACATTCGGATTTAATCAATTTCTTTGAATTTATTTATACGATCATTTAGTAGAATACCTGTTGTTAAATGCAGTCAAGTATGAATAGACATTAGGTTAGCTATTATTTGAGTGTAATATGATATGATAATTGAATATACATGTACTGGGTTATTAGTATGAATAAAGACAGCTAGAGTAGACTAAGCCCAGTCTCTTCCATTTCTTAGTTCGGATATATATAGGATTGTTTAGAATTAAAGTGCTGTTTTGCAACTATCAGTAAACATATTGTCTAATTCCCTTATTGGAGAAGGTGTTTCTTGATTATCAAAATCACTAGAGATATCATTTTTGTCCGACTCAACTACCAAAACCACTTTCTTTGGTTTCGACTTTGTACCGTTATTGTTAATAATAGAACCGTTATTTTTTAGAGTTTCTTGAACACCGGAGGCTGATGGTCCGTCATTGTCAAGTTGACTTTCTAAAACTTCACCACCGTCCCCGAAATCGATATCAAAAGTTTTATCGAAAGGTATGTCTTCTTGCACAATTGTTTGGACAGTGATGTCCGATCGCCCTCCGTAAATGCTATCAAAGTTTGTATCGGGCTGCTGTTTTGTTTTCCGTTTTCGTACCGTGTTCGCGTCTTTCATTAGAGCAGCGATGATGTCTTCTCGAGTCAATTGGTGTTGCGACAACTTCTTAATCTGAAAGTCATCATCATTTGCACCTTTGTCGTCATCAGCATCTGGGCAGCATTTGTCCGAACATTTCACAAACAGTCTGTAGAGAAGTAAAAGAATAACTAAAACATTTTTCGTGGTGAAAAATATTAAACTGTAGTTCACGAGGTTAAACTCTATAATGGTGTAAAGGCGCATGACAAGAAAGGGGCCATCTTGCATGAACAAGCTGACAACGGTTGCTAGCACCTCAAAGGAAGCCGTGCTTTTCTTTTTATCTGGTTCAATGCAGATCATTTTGCTTTCCTCTTCAATAAGACTTATTCTAATTGGTTTAGACGCTACGGTTAGTACCATGGTGAATTGGAGTAAACTCCATGACCACACTCCCAGCAGCGCATAGGTGAATATTAAACTCCCGCGAACCGGTTCCTCATCAAACAAAGCGAATAGTTCCATGATATCAGAAGCTATGCCAATAAAAGTAAACAATAGTTCGGACAGCTGTTCACGACTGACGCGTCCACGAGGAAGCAGCCATCGTCCAATTATCATCAGATACAAGAGCGATTCTTCTATCACTAGCACCCATGTATCTGCTGGTAGTTTTAATGGTATCTTTATCTGAAAAATAATTTGATGTACAGTTACTGTGAAAAATAGTTTGATGAACAGTTATTTTTAATCATAGAATCATCCGCAGTAGCGGATCTAGAAACTGTGAATAGGGGGGCGCTAACCATAATCCCCCCCCCCCCCCCGATGATGTAAAAAAATAAAGTGCATAAAATAACACAATCTGATTAAAATACAGATCTATATTTTGTTCCGTTTTTTTTATACTTTCGATGGCCTACACTACATGAAGATCTGACAAGTTATAGCGATAGGTCACGTCAGGGGTCAAAAGACCGACTTATGACTTTATGATGTCAGACATTTGATTAACCAATCAGCATTGATGTTACTAGTGGATTACCCACAGTTCAGTGCAAAACACGCCTAAAGCTCGCCGTGACAGACCGTTTCATTGGCTTATCCCTGACACCATTCAGAACACGCGTTAAATAACAACTCTTCCAGATCCAAGTGTAGTAAAGACAAGTAAAACGAAATTTTGAACTATAAAAACGAAACGAAATAGGATCTGTGTTTTAACCAGATTGAAAATAACACTGCGCCCCTCGATAGAACATTGATCGTATTACTTATATAGCTGTTTGCCGATCGTTATCTCGCCGGAAAGCAGTTTTATTCAAATTGTCACAAAGTTCATGTCATATTATGATTGTTATTGATTTTGTTATTAGTTTTATTTGTGAACCTTAACGGTACATACTTGGTCTGATGGTGCGGGGGGGATCACGTGGCTAAGTGGGTAAGGCGCTGGCTCGCTAGCCTGGAGGTCGGGTGTTCGATCCCTGCATTGGCCGAGAAAGTTCATCTCGATTTTCCGGCGTGGTTTCCCCTTGTCAGTGATGCAGAACGGAGGGCCTGACAAGGACAGCTGCCTAGTCGTTCGGATGGGACGAAAAACCGAGTCCCGTGTACACATTGGCGTGCACGTAAAAGATCCCTTGGCAGTTGGAATTCGATATAAGAGTAGGCCGTAGCGCCGCTGCCCGGGCAAAATTTCCCTCATAGCACACTGTATGGCGTATGCCCGTCTTCAATTAGCCCAGGTTAGGTGCAGAAGAGTAGGACGTTAAACCCCATTTCATTTCATTTCATTTCTGATGGTGCGGGGGGGGGGGGGCTATCGCCGACAGTTGTATTCTGCACAATGATACTTACCCCACTAATTATAACATCATCTACAGCTGTTGTATTAATTGAACCGAATGTTTTAGTTCTATCAATTTCTAGTAACCATATATTTGGTATAGTGGCCAACAAATATAACACAAAACATGGACAGATCCTGAAATAGTAGACAAGAACGTAAAGTTTTCACTCAGATAAACATAAATAGTTCATGGCGTAAAGTTTTAAAGGGCGAAATGGAACAGGAACTGTCAGGTGAAAAATTGATCATTATATCCAGAAATGATAGATATCGTGTTCTAGCAGAATAAACATGCATTGATTGGGGGGGGGGGGCGTTGAATTAACTAAGGTTTTTAACTTTATTTTATCTATTAGCGACAATAATTCTGTCGTGGGCGTGATTAATCGTAGGTGACGGCTACTAATAGGTAATAAAGCGATTAGGTGTTTCGAAAGTTGTCTTTGTTATGTTCTATGTTCTATTACCATGTTCTAGTGTTGGATTATTATAAATTTGTGTCGGATGTGGCAAGAAATGATTCCTTTTGGCGATCAAAGAAGAATCACGGTGAAAAATAGACGGTAAGGATTCCAAAATAGCCTTAGAACCGAGATGGGGGAAAAGCCTTATTTTTATATTAGTTGTCATTAGGACGCGCCAGTAACGAAGAGAGAGCACTAGGGGGTCTCTAAGACTTCGTTACTAAAGTAACTATCCATATATGTGAGTTGGGGGAGGGTGGCACACCCCGGGTTCCGTGAAAATTTAAAAACAATTTCTGCAAGAACAATTTCGGTTGATTAGCTCATAACAAAAACAAACGGACAGTCTCCCCAGAAGTGGATTAAAAACTTCCAGAATTCTCATATTTACTTTTATAATCAAATAATTCATAGAATTGACAGATTTATATTTTTAACCGAGTGCGAGTATCATTGGCAGTCCAAAGTCGATTCAAAAGCAGTCGAACCTTCACTGTCACCTGCACCTGACGTTTGTCTCATTTGTTCACCGACGAAAACGGTTAATTTTACCAGGCTTAGCAAAGAATTGAATTGAATTGTCACCCCCATTTGTATCAGGCGATGTGACATATTGGACTATCTGTGGTTATAAAGATTAATTTCATCGGAATTTTAAATTATATAGGTCAAGAAATGTCATGGATTTAACTCTGAAGTCAATGAGCAGGTATCTGACACCAGAGAGACTTGGGACGGTTCGATTTTCTGACTAGTATATCAAGATTATACCTGAAAAGTAGTTTAACCTGCATAAGTAGCTATTATATATCCCCCAATAAAATAGTAGCTTCCAATTGACATTAAAAGCAATTTCCTTCCTACCTGATCAAATTGAAATTATTGACACTTTCTAAATAATGATATCAGTATTGAGAGAATACGTTGTACTCACATTATTGCATTCTTTACGTTTTGACATATTATTATCCTTTTGAATACTCACCATAATCCTGTATTATCATCATTATTAAAAACGTCTACATGAATGACACCGAACTACAGAATTAAAATTAACCATGTTGTTAAGGTATCAGATATTAATACAATAAAAACACGTACACGATTTACAGTTTAGAAAAATAGAAAAGTTATTGGATAGCCTCATGGTTTGTGGTTACGAACAGTTTTCACCAACTGTTGACTGGTTATTATGAATAGCGTGTATATATTTTACTGATTGGCATCTTTACATTCTTTACTTACATTGTTAAGTATATTAAATCCAAGGACGTTTAACTGAACCCTTTCAGGTGTGAGAATCATAAAGTTGATCTTTCTCATCTCGGTTGATTAAAATTGCGATATTCTTTTATTAAGAATTAAAGATGGAGTCAAGCATAGATAACGTTCCTTGGAACTTATAACACGTTAGTAAATTCTAGCTCTGGGACAAATGTCACTCTTTATTTAAAAAAAATATCTATGTTTTCCTTTCAATAAAACTTTATATTTTTTTTATTGAATTTTAAACTAAAGCGAAAATATATAACATATATGAAATTCTTCCTTTTCATGGATGACAAAAACAAGGATTAATAAGTAGCATAGTAACCCCCATAGCATGAATAGAATCTAACTGTAGTCTCTTTTAAGCGGGGGGTGTATGGTAGGATTCTATATAATTATAGTAGGCGTTGTACATTAAAAGATTATGACACAGACTGTGTACTGATCGAAAAGAATGATAACTGATATTGATATATCAATAAAAATGGAATGTATAGGTGAGACCTGAATGACGAAAAATTCGTTTAGTACACTTGGGCTAAATCTACAAATATCAATACTCTATACTAACACTTAAGTACAGTAATATCATGTACTAATATATGAGTCTACCAATATAACACAACTTTTAGTAACATGTTCTGAACAATAAATAGATCGTAATCGATCAACGTAAATTTTTGCCAGACTCCTCACTGGTGCTTAGAGGGAGATGGGAACGTGGGACTAAAAGTCCGTGCATTTATTTAATGAGGTATCCAGGATTGAAATTAAAATTAAGTGGTCTGCATAGAAGGAGGTGGGGGCATTTAGGATTGAAATTAAAATTAAGATTTTTAAATTAAATCTATCGATATTAACTTCGTTGTACGAGCTGCACTAATTAATTTAAATAAAATGTTTACTTCATATTATGTTCTACATATTTAAATTGTCCTCCTTCTCACATATCTCATTAGCCTATTAGGTCCTTTACTGGAGTCTTTGGAACATGCAAATCAAAGAGTTGGCCCTAAGCATCCACAAACTTCTACACGCCATTGGCCGGACTTGCTGGGGTTATCTACCAAGCAAGATGGAAATAAAATTGGTGTATTTATATTTTTGTGGAGTTAGTACCACTGTTTCGAACACGGTGTAGATCGTTTAGCTAATATTAAGCAGGATTGAGTTTCCTTTGCATAAATTCTTATGCTCTGTTATCAAAACTTGATATTGTTTCGATATACACAAGGCGGAAATTTGAAAGGAAAATGGAGACACTTAATATTATTTTGGTTCAATTTGGGTTCAATGCCCGAAACGTCGCGTTGATGTCCACGTAGCTGATGGCTGGTGGGCGTATTTTAATATAAATGTATTTGATAGTTCTCTTATTTGATCAATAATGAAGGAGTGTTAGAAGATTATATTCACAAGAACAGACCGACGATTGTTAATCGTATCTCATATACAAGAATTATTAAAAAAGTATGTTACAGTTATATACAATTAGTTATTGTTGCACAAAGAAAAGAACTGACGAGGTATAAGTTCTGTAAAATAAAACATTAATGAGTTTATATAACTATACTGTATACATATCTATAAATCATTTATAGGTAGCTGTAATTTTATCCCCCCCCCCCCCCTATTATTCAATTTTTCATAAAATAAAGTTCTCTTTAATCGATTAAAATCCAGTTTCAAATTCTTAGAACGTGGGATCTTCAAGGGACTTCGCCTGCTTGACTCCAGCTAATGCTCTGTCGTTGGCCCACTGGCCGCTCACTGACAAAAGAACCGCTTGCACGCCAACCCATCCCACTACCGCCCCACCCCCCAGCCTACCCTTACAGAAAAAGATGCAACTAGCCCTTAACCAAGGAATATATCTTATTAACAGGTCAATGAACCATACGGTTCGTCGAATATAATGTCATTAACACCGTGGCAAATATATTGCACTGCTTGATATAAAATATAATGAAAATAACACATGAGGGATATCGTTATTATAATTCCATTGGTCTCACGACATGCCTTTCTTGCAGGGATGTTTGTTTTATAAAAAAAATCAATACCATAAGCTATAGAGATTTATTAAAGGTATATATTTCGTTTACACCCAAGATCATAAATGCATAACCCTCGATTGGAAAATGCCTTCAAACAATATGGTAATATATTTATTACGAGAAACACTATAATGCGAGATATTTTAATAGGAGCTATATGCAAATTTGAACGTTTAAGCCCTTAGTAAATGTATAAGAATGCGACGTACGGCACCAGCACTCTATTAAGATACCAACTACCAAAACAGTGTTTAACACTATATAGTAATTTACGTATTTACTTATTGTTACATTATTACGTTTTGAGTCCGTAATCATATTTTTCATGGACATTAGCAACGGCATACTTTCAGAATAAAATGCATTTTGTGGATTGAATAGACCCAATGTTATTACGTTTCTAAATAATTCAACATGCTACTTACCATTTCCATTCAATACCATTTCTTTTTATGACAGTGTATAATCCTTCCAAGATAAATGGTAAAACTGCCAGGAACAATAAGTAATAGATGTCACCATACACTATACTAACCCTCCATATAGTAAGTAATGTATGTAATAATAGCATAAGTCTTACAGAGACGGCTTTTAATATACTAAACAGCGACATGTTGAAAATATGTTTTCTATTGCACTAATATGTCTGTAAGTCAAGAGCTTAAACTCTACTTATATTAAAAACCTTGATAGTGAAAGTTAGCTGTTTACCCAGTCGAGACAAACTTTAATTTATGTCAGTGGCTTTCGATATTGCTGTTTACTTTTGGCATTAAGAGAACATGATAATGCTTGGATAGATATAAAGTTTGATGTTATTTATATATTAAGACTTCGAGCTGAATACCATTAATATATCATCTAGTAAAATATTGGCATTACTAGAACTACTAGTGTTGGATTGATTTGGTAACCTTTCTAGATCACAGAGTCTAATTACAAAGCTGTTCTCGATCACAATAGAAACACTACATAAAACATCCCACACAATACAATATATTCGGGATTCCACCTGGAAAATAAATGACATTCCCCTTCTAAGAGAAGCATGGTACTTATATCCTATTTATATTTGAATTTACCAATTGTAGACAAAATGACATACTAAGGCACCAAATGCACTAGAATTTAACTCTTTTAACTGGAAAGTACCTTTACGTAACTGAATAATTCCGATCTTCATTCACAGTAACAAAACGAAAGTAGAATTTAATAATACACGGCATTAACACCCCCAAAAACAACATCTGAACAAAAATATTTCAAGATCGACACTTAATCTGCATGTTGTTCCAGAGAACACGTTATCTTGGTGTGAGCTGTTTTACATTAGTATTGTAGTAATGCCACCTTCTTTATAAACTACCTGTTCCAGTGTTCGCCTTTTACATTATACACCATACCTTTCAACAGTTGACTGGGTTTAAATAACGTCCAAATAATAAACTCAGATCTACACTGACCGAACATCTAATAGCAAGTCATATGTTAGGTTCATGAAATCTGATAAGTTTTTCTAAATGTTGTAATGAGTTGGTAAATAGTCGGTCACATTACTTCATTGTAAATAGATGATCAGATCTGACACGGGCCCATCGTTATATGTTAAAACGGTGTGATGAGGTGATATGCCTTCTCTTATTTTCACTCCCATCAAGCCTATAAAGGTCAAAACGTTGCCTCGTTGTTTAATAGCTGGAACACAGGTCCTGCTTGTTGATTTTGGCATAAATCGTGGTATAAATATCATAAACAGTAACCAGATGACAAAAATTAATATAAGTAGGCTGGAGTATAAATCGTTCTTTTTTCATCGTCGAATCTATATATGGTTATATTTTTAATGGGGAATTAATACAGACACTTAGTCCACAGTTGGTTTAAAATTCAAATCATTACTTAACGAACAGGTTCTAATCCCAATTCAGCTCCAAGTTGTCTTCCAAGGTAATGGGTTAAATAAAACGGTTATTTCCTTCTATCTTGTTTGCGTTTTCTTTTGGTGATCTTCAACAAATAGTCCAAACATTTGTTTTAGTTTGTCTGTCTTACGGGTAGAATATCGTATTACACTTTAGTAAGGTAACATTGACAACAAAACGTAGATGTTGGACACTTGACACTTCATTTTAAACAAAACCAAGACGGCATTTTGTTAATGCTCATATGATGCGTGAACATTCATTTTTGTGAATCACAAAAGAGGAATCACATAATCCTGCACTGAATGACTACACATCGCTTTAAACATGAGGATAAAATTTTCTTGTACAATATATGTTTTTTACGTCGTTAAAACCAACTGCTTTTAATTACGTTCTCCGTCAAACCAAACCACCGAAATATAAATACCGTTTTATCTTCGGTTCGTCAATGATATACGATATTAACAAAGCCCCGTCTGTAATTTTTGATATATGTTACACTGTATATACTATTGATAATAAACACCTCTACTAGACACACACCAATAACCACCTCTCACCTATATAGTCCACATCTGTCCTCCAGATTTTCATACAAGAATTCTTTAATTCATACATGTTATATGCGGATATCCGATATTTCGTATATGCCTTACACAGTTTTTTGATATATCATACACTTATGAAAGCGATTCTTGATTCTTGTATAGTCATATACACCCTTCAATGAGTCTTTTCAATGAGGCTTATCTATAGTTATAAAGGTAATTTGGGGGAGTAATTGATTCACAGACATGTATTCAGTGAAAAATTGCTGTAAATTTGCTTTTTGATCAGATAACCAGGTACGAAGAAGAACGTCTGCAGTATACAGTTTAACATGATAAGGCATAATGACTCTTATCGTTGTAGACATTGGTTGTAAAACCTGCTTTAGTGTCAATAAAGTCGTTTTAATTGTGCTATTCTACATTGATCTGGTTACTGCAATGACTTGGGATTGAGGTCTCGTTGACAACTTACCTGGGTTATTTGAAACCAACATCCTGTTATTTTTAATTACTTGTTTACATGTGCAACACGAGCAATGAGAAGTTCGCCTGGAAACTTCTTCGAATTGTAACCGTCATTGGTTCTTTTACCCGTACGCTAGTGTGCACACGGGAATCTATATGGTTGTTTTCTTTTACTCGGATAGGTATGATGAATTGTTCATGTCATCTCCACAAACTTTACCTCTTGGAGTTTTGCGGGAGTTTCCACGACCTTTACATGCGCGGTATTATGTTTGCTATGGAGGACTTTCACCCAATGAAATAGTTTTCTGTGTGTCTTATAATCCATATTCCATAACCGAGGCTAAAATATGGCGGCATGGAGAGATCGCTATTTGATGCACAAGCATTATAAAATTATGTGCACGTAAAAGAATCCAAATTTTCAACTTGCTCCGTAACCACCCGATGGATTCCAGCCAAATTTGGTTTACATGTCGCTTGGGTGATTATTCAATGGGAAAATTCAGTTGTTTCAATAATACTTCATTATATATTTCCTACTTAAATCTTATTCTAAAGTGAGGAGGCGAGTTTTACCGTTACAATTCTTTGAAAGTCCTGCCATTGATTGATATTTATGACTGACAGAAGAACCTATTTAAAGATACATTATGTAAGATTTCGATAAAGAGCTGACCGTTCTCGCTATAATCGTTTAAATAGATAATGTAAAGGGAATATGTTGAAAATTATTTCAGTCAAATTACTTCATTCTGAGCGGTCTTATGGCCGTTTAAAGAACAATGTAGTCTCAATTGTCATTGCTACTGTTGTTACGATTATCTAGTTTTAAAATCAAATTATTAACTGTCAATCGTGTTTAAATCCGTTGGAAATCAAAACCATTCGCTGGTCTATTGAGTTGATTATGAGTCTGATTAATGATTTATACCCGGTCTTCCCAGGACGTTAAACCCCATTTCATTTCATTTCATTTCAATGATTTATATAACATTGGAGACCAAGTCGATATAAAAAAGAATAAACTCAATCGAAGTAATAATATATAAATTAGACTATTATCGTTGTATAATTAGTCTACAGAGGGAAGGCGAGATCCGTCAATGGTGTATTTATATTTTTTGATGCATCAGCTTACAATTCATTAACAACATAACTTATCACAGATTCTCTAGTCTCTACACAAAATTAAAACATGCACACATTATCAAATAACCAATTAGCCACGCTACTAAATGTTTAAACAATCTTGGGTTGCACTCAGATGCACAATTGTAAATTTATATAGTATTAATTTAACTGTCACACACAATTTGACATTTCATTCAGAGTAAATTTTAAAGCAACAGGCGAAGTCCTTCGCACATTGAAGATATTTGTACTGCAGCGTTTTGCTGACAAAATAAAGCAAATAATTCTCAACCTTTGGCTTAAAACGAAATTCTAATTCATGCCATCTTAGTTAAATTAATCATCGCAACAGTCGTCATCACGCTATTGTGAATGTTGATCGGTGTATCTTGTTTATAATTGCAGACCAACAGTTCCGTGGGTAGTGTATTGGACAAAATTGAGGAGATACCAAGGTACTGGCGAGCCTTTGTTTTTCGCAGTTTTGTATCTTATGTATAAAATAAACGCTATCTTGAGTGGAGGGAATCGCAAGATATTGCAGTCTAAGGTCACAGCAATTTTATCTTAAGTCTTGGTATCAACTGAACTTCGTAACATTACTTGAACATCTGCCTCGTCATTTTGCTTTTTCATTTATATTTAGAAATGAAAAATTAAATTCTTGTCTTCCAATGAAACATCTGCCTCGTGCTTTTGCTCCTCGAGAGATTTATGTTTAGAAATGAAAAATTAAATTCTTGTCTTCACTTAAATAGCAACCATAAAATGCGCGTAGACATGTTGAAATATAATACTTTTCCTCGCATATTTCAATGAAATCGCAATAAAAGGCCCAGAGTGATCACCATGCAGTTTTATGGTTGGAGTTAAGCGAAAATAGGTTTAACGTCCTATAATACGCCGCCTTCATTATCGCGGGTTGATACATGGCGTATGCTCTTCTTCGTTTGCGCGGTTGGTGCATAACGGTAGGACGTTAAACCCCATTTCATTTCGAGATAGCACTCTCACATTGCAATAGTGAAACAGAATTGTGGCTTTTGATTTGACATAATGGGAGTCTCCGCTAAAAGCATGAGCGGAAACAATCAGTTTGGAGATATAATGAGGCAATGGTCCAACAGAAATCATATGAATTATACCAATAAGCCAATATTGCAAGGATGGGAAATTTGGCTTATTGGTCAAAACGATTTAGAATTATAGGCGGAATTGTTAGCAAAAGAGCTAGTTGACATTTGCACAGACTGTGTATTTATCCATTCAGAAATTAGTGTTTTGGACTCCTTGAAGTAATCATAATTAACGTTTACTGATGAAATGTACTGTGATACTGTTTAGCTAAGTCAATTGTTTTTATTTCAGGGTTCTATTTCTATTTTTACTGATACATTGTTGTTAACGCATTGAGATGTATATGTAATGCGTATAAGAAATAATAAATTAAAATTAAATGTTTAAATCGTGTTCTGTATAATGCTAGTTATCGTGTTTGTTATCCTAATGATGTTCCAGTCATGTTCTTATCTTAATCACTTCATGCTATTGATAACCAGTTTAAATATAAATGCATGTACACTCTGAATAGCATTTGGCAAGTCGACAAAAACTATATTAATGGTATAAATGGTCTGTAAAAAGTGTCCATATATGCTTTCTCTTTCTACCCCCTATATATGGCTTACCACATATTTGGGATCGTGGGATCAAAGTGATCATCCAAAGAACAGATTTGGATTATTGCTTACAAGACACGTTGGAGAAGTTTGGTAGCGTGGGACTAACTAGGATCGTCACTCACGGTGTAATACTATAGGGGTTATTTTAGTACTATAAAAGGGGCTTGTTTTAATATATTGAAGTCGTTAAACAAATGGGCGACAACGTGAAATAAACTATCAAGAAGTGTGTGACGCTCGCCACCTTTAGGACTCTAAAGTATTTTCAGGCATCATTTAGTATTCCCAGAAGGACTCCCCCACAACCCCCTCGGCTGAGAGGGTGGGAAACAGACATCATTCAGAGTTCCTAGTGAAGACATCATTTAGACACCAGGCAGACTTTAAGACGGCAAGATGTAGCAAGTTCTATCAGTAGACGCGCCCTAGAAAGATATATATATATAGAGAGAAATGGGGTTTAACGTCCACTCGACACAAACTAGGTCATTTCGGGACTAATACGTGGTTCAATTTTATTTCAATAAATCGCTTGCGCGTAGGGGTCTTTAGCAGTGGGAGAAAACCGGAGGACCCGGGGAAAACCCACTTGGTTGGACAGGCGACCCTACTTCTTGTCACGTACAACCGGGGAATCGAAACCCCGTCAGTTGACTCAATGACAGACCCGCCCCCCCCCCCCCTAGAATGATGGTTGGGGTCGTGCGATAGAGAGAATGTCGTTAATTGTAATCTATGCTTGTAACCTATGCATCTATCGCTTAACATAAAAATGTAGAAACGAATTATGATATTGTTATTCCTGAGCGTAACCATAAACCGAATAACCGGAGCAAGATGCAAATCACAACGTGAACTGTGACATTTGAAGAAACATTTTAACGGCTGAGATAAAGATATATACTCAATGTTTAAAGTGGAGTCCTAGAGTAAAGAATTGTAAAAATAACCAGAGACATTACTAGACGATCACAAGGCTATTAAAATATGTAGCAGGGAAGAGGGTATGCGTCACACGTTGGTTGTTGGAAGCTTTTGGTTAGATTGCCTTTACCACATCTAACCATCGACTCATAGCGCTGCATTTGAGTGCTACAACGGGAAGAAATCGAAAGGAGACGCTTATCGTTCAATCTGTATTCTCCCAAAGAGCACTGCCACATAGTTTGTGAAATGGTTTTCATGTAAGTGTAGAGAACATACTCCCCAGACACTTTTGACCACCATGACGTGAGATTTTCTGGTGCAGATATCCCAATTAATGAGAAATGGGTTCGGGTAATATTGGTAAAGAGCGTACAAATTGAACAGACCCCCACTTTGGCAGAAAGCTAAATTGTATTGTATCCTCTACGGCTGTCACGCTTCGACCTCTAGCTGGCCGGTCACCTCTGGCTTGCGGTTGTAGTTTCGATCCCTGGTGTGAGCATATATGTCTTGGCGATAGGGCGCCTTCCAAACTCGTGGGAGCCACGGTGGCTGGGTGGTTAAGACGCTGGCTCGCTAGCCTGGAGGTCGGGTGTTCGATACCTGCATTGGCCGAGAAAGTTCATTTGGATTTTCCGACGTGGTTTCCCCTTGTCAGTGGTGCAGAACTGAGGGCCTGACAAGGACAGCTGTCTAGTCCTTCGGATGAGACGAAAAACCGAGGTCCCATGTATACATTGGAATGCACGTAAAAGATCCCTTAGCGGTTGGAATTCGATATAAGAATAGGCCGTAGCGCCGCTGCCCGGGCAAAATTTCCCTCCTAGCACACTGTATGGCGTATGCCCATCTTCATTAGCCCAGGTTAGGAGCAGAACAGTAGGACGTTAAACCCCATTTCATTTCATTTCTCAACCTCGTGGGTTTAATCTGGGTACTCCGGTTTCCTCCCACAGAAAAGACCACGGTGCGTGCGTTTAGATAATGAAACTAACAAAACGACAACTAGTCTGCGATATCACTTTCAGTGGAAGCGGGCGTTAAACACTAAGAACAACAACAAGCAATGCAAAAACCGTCCCTTTTATAAAGCTAAGTGCACGATTTCACGCTTATATTATTATTTCATTTTTCTTATTTTGGTCATAATTAGGAGATACCAAGTCCTAATAAGTCCTAATTAGGAGTTACTAAGCCCTAATTAGGACATACTAAGTCCTATTTGGGAATTACAAAGTCCTAATGAGGAGATATTAACTCATAATTAGGACATCGTATCTCCCAATTAGGACTTACCATCTCCTAGTTTGAATCATTGGGGTTTTGAGAGGACGAATCCGATCGTTATTCAGCCTTCCGCACCCCCCCCCCCCCTTGCTTAAGTACACCCCATCTAGAAACCACAGTTTATAACTAATATTTTTCAAATTGTGTCTGAAGCATTGATGGGAGGACAAACCATATCGCTATTCAGCGTTCCACGACCTTCTATTCCGGAGTTATCCCCCTTTCCGAACGCAATCGACGCTATACTTTTAACGTTTATTTTAAAGCTTTTGCAGGACCTTCATCAAATGATCACATCCATGTTTTAATTTCGGATATAGCTGCTCAAATATAGCCGCTCCGCAGCTATTTTTTTTATTTATTTGGCCCTAATATTAAGCCCTAATTAGACGTTACTATCTCCTAATCAAACATTACTATCTCCTAATTAGGCCTCAGTATCACCTAATTAGGACATATAAATTATTGAAAATTGTTCAATTATCTATTTGGCTCTAATACGCTTCCGTAGGTTTTTCTATGTATGTACGTATTGTCAATAATGCGACGTCGCTGTTTTTTCTCCATCGATTAAGGAAGTGGTCGAAAGAGAACACCATAAGTAGACGATTTACTGTTCGATATCCTGCTGATAATCATCAGATTTGTAAATAGAACAACTAAGATTTATCAAAAACTGGCCTACATTTGCACATGGATCAAATTCAACAAATACACCCTTCATGACGGATATCCCTCACTTAAGTTGTTTTCCTTAAATATGCATCATTCAAAAGCTAAATCTGCATATTGCAGGTCTTTCTTTAGGCCTTAAAGTGTTATATAAATTATTAATTAGAAATTAATTAACATGACAAGACAATAATCAACTGCCTATTGCAGGTCTTCCTTTAGGCCTTAGATGTTATATACATTATTAATTAAACATCAATTAACAGGACACCGCCAAAAAATAAAAACGAGAAGTTGTACCAGTTGAGTGTCCCCAAATGCCCCGTATTCTTATTAGGAATGTCCATGATATTCATATTTTAACGTGAAATTCAAAAGAAAATGAACTAACGTCGGGCACGTCGACCGGCAGGCGAGCAAGTTCGACGATTTGCATAATCGATTTGGCAAATCGTCGTGGTAAATACGACAATTAGGTGAAAGCGATTAGGCTAATTTTTGACGTAAATGTGTTTGGAAAGGAAATGCCCTTACTTTTTAAGCATTGGCCTATATAAATCTGACACAAATTATCAATTAAATGGCCCGCTTATTGTAGAATTACTATGAGAAGGGTGGATCTGGAAGCGCCAAACTTCTATAGCCTTTATTTTATTGACCATAGAAAGATACATATTTGGTTCCTTGGGAATTTTTCTAACGAGCGACAAAAAGCGCGAAATATGCGTTGATATTAGAAAATGGGATTTAAGCAATTATTTGAGTACATTTTAGTGTATATAAAGACGTGAAAATTGAGGGTTTTTTTCGGGAAAATGGAAATGTCGATAACTTAAAGTAGCTAAGTCTCTTATTCAATATCATCCAAAATCTTTGACATTGAAAACACGAATTATTTGTCAATTTAAATCAACATTGATGTTATGATCTTACTGGGAAAGGTGGGCTTCTGATCCAATATCTAAGATAAAATAAACATTTTACCATTGGTACACGAATTGTGTACCAGAATGCGTTTCAGTGCCATTTGTAACAAGAGACTCGAAGAACGAGGCTAGACTTATTCCACTGTGACGCCATATTTTTATCTTGAGAGCATGCGCAATAAATACTATCGGTGTAGACTTCTGGCGTATTTCGCCGAACATAACTGATTTGAAATTACGGTGAAAACAGAAACCATTGAATGTAAATCAGTTTATATACATTTGTATTACATTATTATATGCGTTGCTACCCATTTGTGTCAATTTCTAGGTCCCAAATATTAGCGATTTAGCTTCTTTAATAATTTGAGATCAAAGGATTTGCCTTTTTCTGCATAAAAATAAGGATGTTCATTATAAGATGGGTTATCTTTTCCATGTCATTTGTTAAGTGGTTACTAGAATTCCATTTCGTTGTTCTGTTTATCTTCAAAACCATAGAAAGGCAAATAATGACGACACGGACAAAATCAACGGTTTCAAAGGGAAATAACAGCCGTGTATTATGGATGCAGACCCCCATTAATTTACCCATCGACTTCAATGTTAATTCTGGTCTCTTTGACTGACTCCTACTTTTCACCAAATTTTTACTGGGTTAACTATTTTCACTACAGACATAACAACAAATGATCATGTCTTTGCTCAAGATTTTGTAGGAAGTTGACAAATGAAATTCTAAGTTATACAAACTTGATGTAGCGTACTAAAACCATGTAACTATTCACCGTACATATCACTGTAACTAATCTTAACGCTGTTATCCTTTCGCCTATAAATCATGAATATTTACCAAACCCTGGCAGCAAATGTTAATTCACACCGTCTACGTCCATCCGAAATGGCCTTGCAAACGAGCAGAAAGTGGAGAGAGAGAGCGAGAGAGAGAGAGAGAGAGAGAGAGAGAGAGAGAGAGAGGAACTACAATTTGTTCCGAGATAGTGAAATTTAATGATGGTCTGCCTCCGTATATCAGGATTAATTTCAATATTCGGCTCTCTGCCCATTAACCTGAACACCCTACACTGCATTAAGTACACGATTTAAAATGCTTTGTCTTTGTGTAATCTCTCATACCCCTGGAAGTCAGCTCTTTATTAATATACTTCTAACAATAATTGTAACCCCGTTTTATCATTAATAGTCTTAATTACAAATACAGAAATTATAACATACATATATATTTAACTAATATAATGAAAACAAAAACAAGAAGTTATAGTGCCATTATATCACGAAAGCTTGGGTTTTTACCCAGCTTGTTTGGTCTGCACTGTTTTCATCTTAGAACATTATCTTTTTGACACAGCCGACGTGGACCAAATATCAAGTATTATGCTCACTTAAATTTCCACCAATCCCTTTCTCTTTAGGTTTCCCCTATGTCTACATATTTCAGCGATTAAATGTACCCTTCAGAAAAATCGAAAGCGACCCTATCTTAAAGACTAACACGTTGACAGATCTATTTTTTTTAAAATTACACCCCACATCCAAAATGAAAAATTATCAAAGCAATTCACCAACATAATATTTGAAACAAACTTAGGTAATAAAAGTGACTAAGAGTCTGTATCAGACTGATTTGATTGAACTAGTTTGTGCTGTTTGAAGTTATAAAATAGTAGCCTACCTTATGATATGAGATAAATATTACCCTAATCGAGGTTATAAGGGTAATATTTGTCTTACACACCGACATCAATGTTAAATCTATCCTAATTGATTTCACCTATATAAGACAATGGTTTATGACAAAATTAAGAAAACAAGTCGTAAGTTGCACGAGCATTACATTTTAGTAACCACGTGTTCACAAACTGGCATTCATTTTGTGTAATGTTGTGAAACGATTCAGACGACGAACTGATCCGCGCAAGTAAGTTTGTAGAAAATATGGCTGAAAAAGAAAACGTAGATTCTGACAAAGAATTATTTAAAGCTAGCCAGAGTGCAGAATTTATGCTGAAAATATTTAAAAAGGATTTATGTACTCTGATATTTCAGATTGTGAGATACAAATGATAAACGCTTTTCAATTTCGAGTGACAAGTCGTTAGTGAATGTGCAAACAATACCGTGCCCATAAATACCTTATGCAGAAATCAGTGGGTTGTGAACTTTTTTAACAGTTGGTCAGTGTGGCAGAATAATAAACACGATAGTGAGCGAAAAATCCTGTGTGCGCTGGAAGATATGAGGATATAAGATCGTATTTTATGGATGTCTAGATTCGTCTGGGAAGTAAGCAAAATAAAATGATGAATATTACCCACCGAATTCCGTATTTAGTTATGGGGATGGTTTCACATTTTCCGGATTAAGAATAAAACTGATATGGATATACTACATACTCCAGAATTTGAGTTTCAGACAAGTTCTTGATGGTCAGATGAAGAAGCTAAGTAACACGGGCCTGACAAAGTTCGTCTTCCGAATCGTTTGACAACATTGTACAAAAAAGTGAATAAAATGTTAAAAGAATTTTTGTCCTTTTTCATTGCAGGGTGATGTAAACCTGTTGTGACGTCATCAGAGGGTGATATTGGATATCGCCCTCTGATGACCTCACAACAGGTTGATACGTTTTATAACCTGCATGGGAGATCAAAAAAAAAATATCCTCCCCAAGGTGTGTAATTGTAAATATTACTTGCTATACAGTTGTAATTTACCTTTACTTTACATTTTAACGTTGGTGCAACAGTTCTTGAATAAAAGATATTCATTGTTGTCTAGGCGCCTTCCTTTACAAAACACTCCCCGATGCACCCACAAATTTATTTTCTTTCCGAACTTTCAAATTGCAAAATGCTGGGAATGAAAATATTATATTGTTTAATTAGAAGTGAGATCAAAGGATTTGCCTTTTTGTGGATAAAAATCAGGATGTTCATTATAAGATGGATTATCTTTTCCTTGTGCTTTGTTGTGTGGTGGCTCCTGGAATTCTATTTCATTTTTCTGTTTATCTTCAAAACATTTAAATATATCCATACTTTTGGGTAAAATCTTGGCCGTGAAAAGGTAGTGTGTTAACGACGACACGGACAAAATAGATATCAACGCTATTAACATCGACAAGGTTTTAAAGGGAAATAACTGCTCTGTGGTATACCAGGGGAATAAAATCGTAGGAGGAACTCCAAGATTCGGCTCTCCGCCCAACACTCTGAACAGCAAACCTAGAATAAATCCCATTAATGAACCATATGTGTTAGAATACTTAAAATATACAACGCACGTGAGCTGGGGAAACAATATAACATAAACTAAATCTGAACATAAGTAAAATAGATAATATATGGATTTGATGTATATCGCCATTAGTGTTGCTGCTGCCGCTATCACAATTTGTGCGCCTCGCATAACCCATACTACGGCGATTTCTTTAGCCTGCAAAAATAAAAAAATAAATTCACTCTCTAGTAATAACAAGCCAAGAGTAAAGCTAGTGTGCTTCGCCTCAATCCCAAAATAAATAAACGACACAGATAATTGCATAATTGTTTTTTTTGTAAAGCATGGATTAATCAAACTTATTCTGAGCAGTAAATGCTCATGATTGGATTTATATACAATCACGGTCTTGATTTAATGAAACTATACACCAAGTTTCACCACTCTCCAGCAATTAGAATCAAAGTTATCGTGCTCCGAAATCAACCTTTCTACCTTTGCTTATCGTTAAAAGAAACTACCCATAATCGAACTCAGTCAAGGAACTTCCGTAATAAAACGATACACCAAACTGGAACAATATATCTCAATTAGAAAGTTTCATCACTTTCACTCATTTAGAATCAAAGTTACCTTGCTCCAGATCTCGACCAATCAAATTCCTTAACATTCAGCTTATCTCTGCTTTACCTGAGCAGAAACGGTATTGATGTAATGAAACTATACATCAGGTTTTACCACCCTCGCTCAATTGGTATTTTCTTTCACCGTCCGTACGACCTCCCCTGGTAGCCACTCATGAGCTACCCCTGACTTTTGACAACCCGAAAAATCTTCTCTACCGACCCAGAATTCATACCTTGGACATTCTAGTCGAAATTTTGATGGTCGAATCGTGTCAGTTAGTTAAGACGGTCTATAGATAAGAAACAACCCTACCTTACGGCCAGTGATTTTTAGCCAAATAACAGCAAATACATTTCTGGAGAACATGGAACTTGCTGACAGAATAGATGAATCGGTAGATGACATAACAGCAGCCGATACAGCACCAAGACCAATAAATGCCACCCAATCAGGACAGAGATATCTTAATACCAATGGTAGAATCATACTCCAGTTTTTTGATACATCTTCAGGTTTGGGATAACTTGTCTTTGTCCAGTCTGAAAGAAAATTTTGTAGAAAATAATATAATACAATATTTTTCGTAATAACACGAAAAATAGTTAGGTTCATTTTACTTAGGATTTCAAGAGTTAAAATATTCAACCGAGATTACCAACTGGAATCGTGCTTTTTTTCCGAAATGGAGCCGTAAAAGACACAATATACATCTACAATGTTGTGTGGTCCTCATACCTCTGTGAGAGAAGATGCGGCAACGATACGAATCTTAAAAACTTACCGGAAAATAAGATACGCGGAACACGATTGAGGCCGGACTTGAATTGCACTTACCTGCTGAGGCTCCAGCAGCTCCCAATAAAATGGCAGGAATAACCATAACAGCACAGCCAACAGCTGCTGCGTACGATAAAATTTTGGCAATTCTCACATTACGAGATGATAAAACTCTTTGGAAATATACCTACAAAACAAAGGGACAGAATAATGGATTAGAAAAGTGGCCAGTGTGGCTGTGCCCTTTGCCATTCGTTTATAGGTCATTATAGTATTTTTTCGTATTTAACAGTTCATTACTCATTTAACCATAGCAGACGTGTAATATATGATATCCGAGTTCGGTGTAACGGATGAATTGTTAGGTCGATAACCTAGCAATTATTATATCTTCTATTCTATCACCGAAAAGAACTTAAAATAATTGAATAACAAATTGTTTTAAAGCTTACCTGCCATGGTATACCACCAAGTATTAACAACAAAAATCCATCAATATATACTCCTATGTAAGCTGACTCAACTGGTTCTATCCAATTAGTTGTAGCATTAATAGTTATAGATTCTACAGATTGGTGAGTTAAAGCAAAAGGTACACTTAACCACTGAAACAAAAGTAAGAACAATAATAATAGTTCTGTTTTAGAAACCCTATTGATTTCAAGAATACGTTAGTTAGGAGTCTAGGTGTATAGCCTCCCGAGTGGGACAAAGAGTAGGTGGTGCACGTCTAGTCATATATAGTAGTCTATATCAGAATAATACAAAAGCATTTTGTTTGTTTATTATGGGTGGTGCGGTTCTCCCAGGGCTACCCCTGCAATAAATGACACCTAACATTTATTATATACTAGCAGGATACCCGGCTTCGCTCGGGGGTCATAACTCCGAAACCGGAAGTGGTAGACTAACGCCACCTGGTCTATGTTACTCCCCGGTCCGAGCTACCCCTATACCCCAAATTTCAGACTCGGGGCAGACCTAGTGTAGCCGCCAACCCCGAACAGACCGGCTTCGCTCGGGGGTCATAACTCCGAAACCGGAAGTGGTAGACTAAAGCCACCTGGCCTATGTTACTCCCCCGTCCCAGCTACCCCTATACCCCAAATTTCAGACTCGGGGCAGACCTAGTGTAGCCGCCAACCCCGAACAGACAGACTTCGCTCGGGGGTCATAACTCCGAAACCGGAAGTGGTAGACTAACGCCACCTGGCCTATGTTACTCCTCGGTCCGAGCTACCCCTATACCCCAAATTTCAGACTCGGGCCAGACCTAGTGTAGCCGCCAACCCCGAACAGACCGGCTTCGCTCGGGGGTCATAACTCCGAAACCGAAGTGGTAGACTAACGCCACCTGGCCTTTGTTACTCCCCGGTCCGAGCTACCCCTATACCCCAAATTTCAAACTCGGGGCAGATGTAGCCGCCAACCCCGAACAGACAGACTTCGCTCGGGGGGTCATAACTCCGAAACCGGAAGTGGTAGACTAACGCCACCTGGCCTATGCTACTCCCCGGTCCGAGCTACCTCTATACCCCGAATTTCAGACTCGGGGCAGACCTAGTGTAGCCGCCAACCCCGAACAGACCGGCTTCGCTCGGGGGTCATAACTCCGAAACCGGAAGTGGTAGACTAACGCCACCTGGCCTATGTTACTCCCCCGTCCGAGCTAACTCTATACCCCAAATTTCAAACTCGGGGCAGACCTAGTGTAGCCGCCAACCCCGAACAGACAGACAGACAGACAGACAAACGACAGTCACAAATATATATATATATATATAGATTATTGCTCACAGAAGGTACGTCGCTAGCGCATAGCTGGGTTACAAAAATGTAGCTTTAATCCATAGTCAAGGCATACATTGTTATAGTGTTTATAAATTAAAACTCACCAATCCTATAAACATACAGATAAGCTGAACGACATCCGTATAAGCTACCGAATACAGCCCTCCTAGTATGGTATATAATACAGCTATTATAGCTGATACTATTATGGCTATATTTGTATCTAGATCTAATATTACAGCTAGAGTATTACCTGTAAAGATCATATGCACATAAGGTTTAGTCAACAGTTCATAAAAAATAATCAATTTCTTTCATTAAACTTGTGATTATAAAATTAATAATGTTAGCTTATGTTTGCATGTCATTTTCTTTCAATAAATTTATAAATATAGAAAATAATAATGTAAACTTATATAGATATTAAGTATCGTACACGATTGTACTAACCTAGAGCGTTCAATATGGCAGCCGACCAAAATGTTTCCCCGCATAAAGCTGGTAAATATAAAAGGGCGCCCATCAAATCTCCATATTCTCTTTGATACGGATCCAGCATGGTGGCATACCGTTTTTCTCTTAATTTTTCAGCAAAAAATAATCCCCCTGTAACCAAATTGAAAATACATACTTTACAAATAATGTAAAAAACGGCCATTAGGGGTGTTTAGAAATAAAAAGTGAACCCAATCTTTAAATTGATCATCTAAATTGCAATTTAAAGGATCAATTTAAACTGTAAAACAAAGAATACTGGAGAGACAGCTGGTGTTTAAGCAAATAATACAAGACAATATGGAATAGATATAAATTGTAAGGTGGGGGCGGGGTAATTAAGATGGATTAAGATCCATTAAAATATAGTTTACTGAATTAAGTAATACTGTGCGGATTAGCACGGCGTATTAAATCTTTACTACTGGGTTGATATTCACCCTACTACAATATACTACTATATTTTAATGGACCTTAATCCACCCCCGTTTATATATTTTTCATATTGTCTTGTATTATTTCCCTAATCACCTGTCTCCAATATTCTTTGTTTTACACTTCAAATTGATCTTATAAATTGCAATTAACGTCAACGGGCTATTGCGTTTTAGTTACCGTGGTATATTGTTTGTACATTGTACGATAGAATACAGGTTAAATACCATATATAAAGCATGTAGGTATATAGATCAAAATGAGTTAGTCAGCGGTGGACCCTGCTACAGACGTGTCATTGGGAAATCAACTTAGATCACATTCTTAAGGACAGACGTTATTCACCTGTATTTGGGTATTTGGAGACACAAGTTTATGTCAATTCACTTATCAATATTGGAGCTTATCTACTATTAAGCATTGAACCAATATTAATTACATTAATTGTCTGATGTAATTTATGTTGATAATTTGTTAATCAAACAATAGAGAAATATTAACTATCAACAATATTCATGTTTTCTTTTATTCAACGACGAGCATTCAGGAAAATACAAAATAATTACACCTGTACAAATGGTAATTAAGGTGGATTAAGATCCATTAAAATATATATTTTTTTTAATTAGGTAATACTGTGCGGATTAGCACGACGTGTTAAAATACACTACTGGATCGAAATTCGCCCTACTACAGTAATCTCCGAAACCAAGATCATCTATTGTGGCTATATACACCTTTCCTCTTTCTACTGCTTTGTATCACTGATTACAAATCACTAACTTTACACACTACCCAGTATAACAGTTCTTGCGAATTGTGATTTAAAATACTATACGGTAAGTACATCAAGCCAGACACTGTTATGTTTAGTGTTTCAAGGTCATTATTTACAATTGGTCGGCAGTTAATGGGTTGGAGTTAATATGTCATAAATATTAATTTGGTATTAGAATATTACCATGTTACACTTATACATATATGTAGATTACTTTCATTAAGACATGTCAGCTTCTTTGAGGTATGTATGTGTGTCTAAAAGCTTTTCTGTAATTAGGTGCTAATGTCTGGTTATGCTAATTTTGTTGTAATTCTGATACCTATCATGAATGACGTGGCAATTCTTGCCCTGTCAGTAAATTCCCAGAAAAAACGGACACAACAGTACGTTGTTGAATCACAGGCGTTTTCGTCTTTAAAAGACAAGAGTTGGATAAAATATTCCCAGAGATCATATAGCGTTTCTTGATCTCTACAGGCATCATGAATCGGTGTAATAAAGTAGATGGCTTAGATGTTAGAAGTGTGCGTAACGTTTAAAACGAAGTATGTACTATTTAGCTTGTATTACTGTTTAATAAACATAGAGTTTAAAGGGATAGCGGATTCCAGATTTCTATTATTTAAAATCACAACGTGAAGTTAAAAATTGCAAATAATAGCTCTCTGGGTATTACTTATGATTTACACACTTATGATTTATTTTAGATCTCATACCAGATTTACACGATGATTAGAATCATTTTTCTAAGAGTTAATTTTTTCTGTGTGTGCAGTACTTATGGGATATTTTAGCACGTAATATGTAATCTATGATGTGGTGAGAGTAAAGCAATTTTGTATAAACCAGCATCAGAAACAAAATCAATACATACCAAAGATGAGAGCTAAGCCATAACCAAATGGGGCCTGGCACCAAAGTAGACCAAAATCAGCAACGATTTCAGCAGAGCCATTGATGTAACCGCCTCCAACCCAGGTAGCTGAAAATGTTGATAGCAACTTGAAACTACAATATATATATTCAGTTTTATTCACTGAAATACATCTGAGGTTTCCTCTTTAAACAGCATAGCGGACGATTTGTCGCCCTTTTATAAAACCAGTAATTATCATTCACCTGAGAATACATTTTTCGCTCTCTATTAAATTGAGATGGTTATTATTACCCCGTGATATAAGCATAACGTCCCACTTTTCTACACTGACTGTGGCGCTATAGCCCACTCTTATATCGAATTGCAAGTCAAAAGGGTTCTATTAAGTTCACACGGGATCTTGGTTTTCGTGCCATCCGAACGATTACATCCTCCGCCCTGCACCACTGACAAGGTGAAATCACGTCGGAAATCCCGGGATCTTTCTTGGAATCGAACCTCTGACGGATCCCTGGTTACTGAGCCAGCGCCTTAACCACTGTGCCACCAGGACTCCGGGCACAAGAGAAGTACTATATATTTTATATACCTGTCATAGTAAACATGCCGACAAATATACCAATATTCCTTCCCGCCAACATCATATCTTCACTATCCGCACTACTGTTACTTTTATTTTTTCTTGATGCCCATATTCCAACACCCAATATTAATAAATAAAATATAATGATGGCAATCAAACCAGGTATATGTATAGCCATGGTGTTTACTGGGTCGACACCTGAAATTATAATGCATTTAAATATGAGGGCTACCACTTATTATCATCCATAATGTATATTTTATGTATTATTGTGGCTAATGAGTGTGGCTTATGATTTATTTCTAGCCTCGAAAAGTAAGTAGGTATTTCCAGCTTGTTCAGTAGACGGGTATTGTCTACGATTGGCCGATTTTTAATAAATTAGTCCTATAAAATAGATATTTGTTAGTGTATGCAGCAGATAGTCAATATTTTGATTATTCGGACGGATAACTGGATAATAGGACTATCCATATCTGTCTTTAGACAATGCTTAGGGTCGCTTAATGTCACCAGAATGACAGATTACAGTTTGTTTAAAACTACACATGACGTTTTTGAGGGATAATCTACTTTAAGACTGTATTTGTCATTAGTCGCTGTCCATTTACCACAAATATTGAAGCCCAAGTAAATTCTTGGATTATCCTCTGCCATTTTCTTTTCCGCCTTTTAATCGCAGACTCTCTCGATGTTCTCAAAGCCGATAACCATTAGATCAACCCATAAGAAGCGATTCTTAAGTCACACCCTAACATTTTTGTCATGAGGGTGCGCCATGTATTTCGGAAAATTCAGTACTTTCCTAGTACGATTTCAAAACCAGAGAGGCACATTAATCAAATCATTCTAGAATACGACTTACTAAATGGATCAAACAAATTTTTTGTGAACAGCATGTTGACACATTAGTGATTAAGTCATCCCAATTCCAAGACATTACGAGAAGGTTTAGAGTCTGTACACAGTCTATACATCAGTATCTGGTGTGTTCACCGCGAGTGTCAATAACAGCAGCGCAGCGTCTGTACATGGAGTGGACCAGACGATTGATGAACGCCATTGGCACCTGGAAACACACTCTCAGAAAAAGCCTGGTGCAATCCATCGGCTGTGTTTGGTTTCGGTACGACGTTATTAAGTCTCCTCTGAATTTCATCCAAAAGATGTTCAATCGGGTTTAAGTCCGGACTGAGGGCTGGCCAGTGCATAACGTTGACACCGTTCTGCTGTAGAATGTTCTGAGTAACTCTGGCGGTGTGGGTAGGGCGTTGTCATGCTGGAGAACGTTGTTTCGATGACGTGCAAAATGTGGTATGACGTGGGGTCTGAGAGCTTGATCGATGTAGCGCACTGCTGTGATGCCGCCTCCTCTCCCTGGACCAAGATTTTGGAACACCACATACAGGACCCACTCTCTGGTTCAGGCTTGTGTGAAACACTAATTTTTTGTTAAAATAATTTTTCTTATTATTAATTTTTTTTCTCCATTTGAGTATATCTCAGAAACTATTTGTCGGATCAATTCGATGTCTTCGGTTTTACCACGAAAGCGGCAATACTATATACCGGAAAACACCGGAAAACACAGGAAAGCAACCGGAAAACACCATTTTATACTGAATACCGGAAAACACCGGAAAAACACTAAATACCGGAAAACACACTAAATACCGGAAAATACCCTAAATAGGTAACCCGGAGACTGGCACCCTAAATAGGTAACCGGGAGCCTGGTCCTCTGTGTGCCTGGGTTAGGGTTAGGGTTAGTTTCCGGTTTACAGTATAGCCCTTCTCCGGGTTACCTATTTAGGGTGGTTTCCGGTATTTAGTGTGTTTTCCGGTATTTAGTGTTTTTCCGGTGTTTTCCGGTATTTAGTGTTTTTCCGGTGTTTTCCGGTATTCAGTATAACATGGTGTTTTCCGGTAGTTTTCCGGTTGTTTTCCGGTGTTTTCCGGTATATAGTATATCCCCTAGGAAAATGGATTTTAGAGATTAAAGCTATTTTGAACGTTCTGCGACAATGCGAAATGACCGAAATTTCCGAAGTTGTCGTTTTTTGAAATATTGCCGTAATATTAACAATAATTGTCAGATTTTAACATTTGATACAAGGCATATAGCTACGGTAGTTTAGATTTTCGATTTTCGACGAATCTTCGCAGATATTATTAGGCGTCACATTTTGAAAATTTAAATTTTTACAAAAACCTTTTTTATTTATGAATATTTTTTGATGGTATTTTGCACAGGGTTAAAAGGTCTTCGGACTTGAGCAAAAGTATGAAAAAAATTCCCCCAGTACTTTGCACTAGCCGCCATTGGTTAATTCAGTTTTTCGGTTCTAGATTAATTATTTATTGTTCGATTTGTATAAAACAAAGTTACCATGATCTATGGTCACAAATGCCTTTTTTTTTTACCGATAAAGTTTTCTGTCGGCACCGGAAGTGATGTCATTTTGACAAAAACTGCAATTTTGACAGTTTGGAACGCCTTTTCGCAAGTAAATATTATTTTTTACAAATTTGAGATATCAAGATGAATGTCCCTACTACTACTCGGTGTTTTTAATTTCCGTTTTGTATTTGCGCCATTTCGATTTAAAGGTGAAAAAAGATGTAAAAATGGGCTATTTACAACCCATTCAGGCTTTTCATATTTTAAAATATTCCTTCGTAACTATCATAAATATTTAATATTAATCCATACGAAGAAAATGTTTGTCAAAATTAGTTTGCAATATGAGCAGTTTCCGAGAAATAGTCAATTTTGCATTAGTCACTTTTTACACTATTTTGCCTGTAAAACAGCCAATTATTATTCGATTTTCACTTTTCTTTCACCATTTGATGCCTAATGTCAATTATGACTAGGTCAAACCAAAGGCGTATATTAAATAAAGTTGCTACAACTGTGAAGCTAGAAATTTCATATGACGTCATGAAAATATGACGTCAAGTGTACAAAGACGCCATCTTGGGTCCCAAGTATTTGTACCTATTTTATGTCCTATCATACTGTTGTGTCGAAGTTAGCTGCCTCCGACAGGGATATAGATAGATATGTCATAGAATTCCCCAAAAAAGAAATAAAACATACATTTTTTAAACGAAAAGTATAGGTGAAACAATTATTATTATTATTATTATTATTATTATTATTATGCAACAAAAAGCGCACATTATTGTTATAATAATATGGTCTAATTCATAAGAAAATGAAATAAAAGATACACCAGATAAAAGCGCTATTAAATATATTTAACTTGCATACGCTTTTAAAAATCAGTTTTTTTGTGCAGAAAGGTAAATTGAAAAATGAAAATTTAAATAGTAATTTGGGAGATAAAACCTTTTGCCTTCTAGCTGGCAAAATAAATGCCTGAGAAATTCCATGATTTTTTTGGTCTGGAGCCATTCCGGATTGTGTGTCAGTTTTCGGTCATCGAGCATTACTTGTATCATCAATTTTTTGAAAATAGAAATTTCTTTAAATTGAATAATGGATAAAACATCTAAAATCAGTGTAACTTAAAATCAATGTAATTTAAAGGAGCTAAATCGCTAATATTTTGGGCCTAGAAATTGGCACAAATGGGTCGCAACACATATAATAATGTAATATGAATTTATATAGACTGTTTTACATTCAATCGTTTCCGTTTTACTGTGAATTGTCATCAGTTATGTTCGGCGAAATACGCCAGAAGTCTCAGCCGAAAGACAGTTTCTAGCGTTTGGTTATTCCAGTCAACACCGACAGTATATATTGCGCATGCTCTCCAAATAAGAATATGGCATCACCGTTTGACATGACTTGTGGAATATGTCTAGCCTCATTCTTTGAGCACCTTGTTACAAATGGCGCTGAAACGCATTATGGTACACGATTCGTGTACCAATGGTAAAATGTTTATATTGGATATCAGAAGCGCACAAATTTAACAGATACAAATAGTTACATGTTATTTCACAGGTAGACATACATTGAAGGGACCCAGTGAAGAAGACGCAGTTGGTTTAGAGTTTGTCCGACTCCTTTGGGTATTTGCGCCCCATTTTCAATGAAATAATCATATTGTTCTGATGCTCAACTAGTATCAAATATATATCGTGTCTGAGGTTTGTTACAAATCGCCTCGAGCATCTTCCACACATCTCAACATTTATCTGGGGATCACGTGGCTAAGTGGGTAAGACGCTGGCTCGCTAGCCTGGAGGTCGGGTGTTCGATCCCTGCATTGGCCGAGAAAGTTCGTCCAGATTTTCCGGCGTGGTTTCCCCTTGTCAGTGATACAGGACGGAGGGCCTGACAAGGACAGCTGTCTAGTCGTTCGGATGGTACGAAAAACCGAGGTCCCGTGTACACATTGCCGTGCACGTAAAAGATCCCTTGGCAGTTGGAATTCGATATAAGAGTAGGCCGTAGCGCCGCTGCCCGAGCAAAATTTCCCTCATAGCACACTGTATGGCGTTTGCCCGTCTTCAATTAGCCCAGGTTAGGTGCAGAAGAGTAGGACGTTAAACCCCATTTCATTTCATTTCTCAACATTTATCAACTTTTTGTTCAATCTATAAAAGTCTACATTATATTATTATATTATCAAATTTTGCAGTTATTTTGAAAGAAATGTCCGCCACCAAATGACAGATACATTTTTGAGCTATATGACGCCATGATGTCATAGTTTTTATGGCGTCAGAATTAGGACCCAAAATGGCGCCTGTAAATGAGTTGTCGTAACAGGGTTTTGGCTCAAACCATTTTAACACTTCAATGTCACCGGAAATGACGTCATTTGGGAGAAAACTGATTTCTTAGCCTTCAAAACACATATTTTATTCAATTGGGTCGTATTTGTTAGTTGTTTGAAATTATGATATTTGATTCCAATCACCAAATAGAATGAAACAATACTATCATACATATTTCACAAAATGGTATGAACTTGTACGGTTGCAGAGAAATAGACGATTTTCTACAAGTCACTTTTCAAGGTTTTTGATCAATAAAAGCGTCAATTTTTAATCGCTTTTCATAAAATTGTCACCCTGTGATGCCTTATGCCATTTATGATTTCATAAAACTTAATTCAACATTTTCAATGTCACCGGAAGTAATGTCATTTTGGTAAAAGCTGTATTTTCAGTCTTCAAAAGAAATATTTTTTAAAGTGAGTTATATTTAGTATTCGTTTAACATTATGATATGGACATATATATTGGATCAATACGATCATAGAGATGTCAAAAAATTGCTTCTATGCTTCTAGCATCTTCCCTTGTCGAGAAAAAAATAATTGTGTCGGGAACATTTTTTAAGATTTTTTGCCTGTTTAATTTCAGTTATGGATTCTAGGTTAATTATTTATTGCTTGATATGTATAAAACAAAGTTCTTGCGTTTCATGGTGCAAATTCTCAACTTTTTTGTTACCGATAAAGATTTCTGTCTGCACCGGAAATGACGCTATTTTGTCAACGGTCTTTTCGCAAGCAGATATTATTTTTTACAAATCTGATAGATTAAGAAGAATATCCCTATGACAGGCCCAAAAAATGTCGATTTAAAGGTGAAAAAGAGTGTAAAATTAAGCAATTTACAACCCATTCAGGCTTTTCATATTTTAAAATATTTCTATGTAATGTTCATAAACTTGTAGCATATATTTATAAGAAGACAATCTATGCCGAAATTAGTTTGTAAAATGAACAGTTGGCGAGAAATGGGCAATTTTGCATGAGTCACTATTCACATTATTTTGCCTGTAAAAGAGTCAATTTTTCATGGATTTCAATAAAACTGATAATATTTGATGCAGAAAACAAACATACGTTAAATCAAATTGATTAAAATTTATAATTCACACCAGAAGTGACAACATGTTGTCAAAAATTGAATTTTAAGCTTTAAAATAAATATTTTTTAAATTGATAATTTCTTGCTACGTATTGAAAATGTTAACTTTTAGTTTAAATCAACATACAAAATAAAAGGATACAGTTATATAGATATCAAAAAATGGTTTCTAACTTGTTCCGTTGCGGAGAAATAGACGATTTACTCCAAGTCTCTTTTCAAGGTTTTTGATCAATAAAAGTGTCAATTTTTAATCGATTTTCATAAATTTTTCACCATGTGATGCCTTATGCCATTTACTTATTCATTACACAAATTCATTATCACCGGAAGTAATGTCATTCTGACAAAAACTGTATTTTTAGCCTCAAAAACAAATATTTGTTTGAAGTAAGAGGTATTCATTATTCGTATAAAAGTATGATTTTTGATTTCACTGGATAAATAGTATGAATCAATACGATCATAAAGACATCAAAAACAGACGTGTTTCTAGCCTCTTCTCTTGCCGAGAAATAACCAGTTTTGTCAGTATCACTTTTGTTTTAGGTTTTTCGCATTTTAATAAGGCTTTATAAATGGTTATTTCTGCTTAAGTTTTAATCAAGTTTCTGTCATGCAAAGGACAATCGAAGTGGTTATTTATGTAATCCAATTTAAATATTTTGTTGATAACGAAAGTGATGTCATCGTGTCGAGACTTCGTTGTATAAATGGAAATGATATTGCTGGATTTAAAGACTAATTCTGCGTCCATTTTAAAACACGTGTGTAATGCAAATGTGGAAATCTGTTGAACGTTTTCATTGTTTTGGGTAGTGACGTCAGTTCAAGAGTAACATGGCACCGGTGAAACCCGTCATCACCGCATCGCAGTTCTATTTCCACATTGTTCATATAATGTAGGTCATAAATGTACTGGACGATAAAAACGCATTGACCTTTACTTCCTTTGAGGCCGATTTATTTCGTCACAAATAACCCCGTCTGTGCCAGAATAGCATTGAATTAGGTGGGGTTTTTTTTAGAGTACTGTGGCAAGTATAGGTGACAAGTATTATAAGTAGATATTCGTTCAAAACTGTATTGACACATCGACCAGTTTACTTTTAAAAATCGACAGAATGATTTACATGCTTGCTTCGTAGAGCATATATTGGTTGGAGACTATTCACTAGGGTTAATTGAAAGTGTGTCATGTTTTTCATAATTGATGCACGAAAGTTTGTAAGTTAAAATGAACAAAAACACATTAATTAGCCGGAGTTCGAATCTGGTGACATAAAATCATTCATTGGCTGAGAAAAGGCTGGGTGGTGGCTTGAGGGCGGGGTTGTTAGATCATACCATGTGCTATTAAGGAAAAAATAGCCTGGGTATCCGTTCATAAAAAAAAAGTCTAATTGAACAAATTGAAGACTAAGATATGACGAAATAACTTGTCTGAAAGTTTCAGTGCAAACTATTGAGCAGTCATTGGTACGCAACTAATTTAAATGTCATTGTTTCCGTCCACCAATATGTGATAAAATAGGTTAAACATATTCCAAATTAAATTTCAACACATAGATGGTGGATCCATAACATATACTCTCAAGTTCTTGGTGTGGCGCAAATACAGGAGACCAGTCACCATTACTGATTGAAGAAGAGAGCGGTAATAAGAACACAAATAGTCGACAAACAGTTCGAGGAGGCTGCGTGGCGTTATCAGTTCAACCGCGAATAGGCGTCCTCCCATTATAGTCATACGGCCCATTAGTCATACGGGTTGCAACAACAATGATATGGTTGACTACACCGACAACTGCCTTTGTAATACCCCTCAATATAGTGGTATGATCCAAAAAACGTAAAAACCAATAATCTTTAATACAGATTATCTTTAGCATAGTATACATACATGTTCATGTACTACAAATAGTTCTCATCATCAACGACCTTTAAATAGTTCTCATCATCAACGACCTTTAATCTTCACCAATTAAATAAAGTACACTTTCGTTAACACAAATCTTCATTTATACACACAAATAACTAATTACCACAACAGCAGAAAAGTCAAGAAAACGTAATTATGTACGCTTGTATGTCTGGCACACGCGATAACCACTGGAACACAGTAATAGAACGGGAGCCAGGGGGTTAACCTAGCTGAAAAGTGTACCAATTTTCTCCTATATGGTTTCAATGCATGTATATCTGGTATCATCAGAATGTAAGTCTGCCGGGTTTCTGGTGGTGGGTGTGGTATTTCACGCCCAAAAAGCCATGCCCCCCCCCCCAACTAGGCTAGATTAGCTCAAAAGTGTAGCACTTGAAAATCGTATTTACACCCCAGGGACCTTGACGAAAAAAGATAAGATCAAGCAGTAGTAGAGAAATAAAACACAAAATATTAAGATACTGTACCTTACTTTGTTGAGAACCCAATGCCCCGATCCGTGATACCCCTCTACGAGTTAGAAAACGTACAGCGTCATAAAATACTAATATTAGTATTTACACTATTAGAAGTATACTGTTAACCAGTGGACCATTACATATTTTGAAAGCATGTATAAAAATAAAAGGGACGTATATAAACGGATACACAAACATATCATAATAAGACGCTATCCTATATTTAGGATTTTTCATTTCTTTATACCGTCTATGTCATGACTTGAATCAAAATAAACAAAGTTCTCCATTAAACCTTTATAGGGGATATTGAACATACTGTAATTCAACGTATATAATATCTACTACATAAACATGTACGACTTACTGTTATTTAGGCTATAAATCCTTGTTTACGTCTTCTCACGACATCACTCGTTCACCCGAGTTGAAAATAACAATGCCCAGGAATGCCTAGTTTGGATCTAGCCTTGGGCGGGACATTCTTACTTGAACCTAAGGGGCTACTCTGGGCGCATATAGAGCGCCAAGGAGGTGTTATACAAATCAATGACAATATTATACAGACATTTGGAAGGGTTTTCATTTTTCATTCATTGACATGTTTATTGGACAAGGTCTAGATGACCCATTTTCGGGCGTCGATTGCCCTTGAACAAACATATCGTTTAAACCCACCCAACTGTCTGTACCGTGTAATGCCCTCGGTAACTGATACAATTTAAACATCGTTAGTTTTCCGCCTGGGTCATCGCCAAACTGTGTTTAAGATAACTAGGATATAAATTGAAATAAGTTGTCTAAAATATTTTATGATACACCCCTTCGGGAAAAACGGTTCCTCGAATATTCGGCTTCAACGCAGACGACTCAAATATCTAACAAGTTCGATTTCACGAATATTTTGTCGAAACATTTTACTGTGTGATTTTCTACCCACAGATGGTGAATAAATTAATCGGATCAATGTTTTCCTGGATATTATTCGATGAAAATGTTCCATCGTCTGCATTTGGTTATATTTAAACAACTTTGGTGGTGATCATGGTTATGGTGGCGGAGAAAAGGTTTTTCATGTTTTTTTGATTTATCATAGTTTTCACTGCGATTTCTCACATGAGGTAAATTACAAGAAAAAGGTACAAATCACCGTATGGCACTAAAAGGCCACCGTACATGGCTTTGACCAATGTTCCGAGTTATGTCACCTAGTTTCAGGCTAACACGTCAACGTACTAGGTCAGGGTTACAGAAAATAAGTAAATGGAGTAAGCATACACTATCACATGCACGACACGACACTCTAGTCCCGTAGTAAGCGGGTGGGAGGGAGGGGGCAGGAGGGGCACGTTGGTCATTGACTTCGTATTGCGTCCAATGGAAAGAGCGTCAAAAGCGCACATTGGGGGAACCGATTCTTTCCCAATGGGCAAAGACACCATTGGGTGCGCCGATGTTTTCCAAGGGAGGCAGCTGTCCATCTTGCCCCCCCCCCCTCAAGCTAGCTACGGGCATACACTCATCATCACTTAAAGTTAAATGGAGCGACGGTTTGGAACTGGATTCAATCACTTTCATTTTGGTTAATAACCGTCTTGCCATTCGGGGGTTTCCTCTGCTAAAACTGGATAATGAAGAATAATCTACCTACGCGTTCTGTCCACTGAGAAATATTAAACGCAATCACTTCAGGTACAGAAGCACAACGTCCCAGGATGTTTTATCGTGCATTCTAGAAATTATTAGCATACCTTGTCGCACACACTTCGTTCCTTTCAAATTATCGACAAGAGAAGCGATCGTTGAATTTAGATTTCAGATGTCAAGTTGCTTTAGCACGTCAGAGAGAATACCTGATGTTACTTATCATTTGCAAAATTCACATTGCTAACAATTTTTGGTTGTATCTTGTATCTTGTTCGCCGCGGTGTTAGCTTCGCGAGATTGTCCTACCCATTTCTCCCTTGTCAGTGGTTTAGAACGGAGGATATTGCAAGGAAACGTGTCTTGTGTTTAGGATGAGACGAAACCACTAGGTCTCATACAGCAAGTTAAAGACCATATTACAGTAATTAATCGAAATAATAGTAGGCCCTAGCGCCGGTGTTGGGCCAAAGTCTCCCGCAAAGCACCCGACCCGTCTTCACTGACCTGAAAAGTGGAGAAACTAAATGCCTTTCAAATAATTTCAAACAATATACTTTTATTTCAAAAACGTGTTTAATAATATGAGATAAAAATAAAAATAATACATGTAGAAGTAGTATGTACATTATCAAAAATGACTTAATTAATTATATATGAATATTTGAGTTTGTCAATAAACAAATTAAAAGTTGGGTTGTACAAAGACTAACATTCGTCCTCTTTATAATGCAAAGGGAGATAACCATTCTTTAGAACCAAATCGACTGTACTTCCAATATTTGTACAATGAAACAAATTTGATGCAATCAAATATCAAATCATCATATACGCAACTGTTTATATGACATTATGATCCTGTGTAAATACAATTTCCCTACCAATTTCCCTATCATTTTATCGGATGCGTGTTGCAGCACAATCGGCTTACCTGTTGTCTGTGGCATCCACAATTATTACTGGTTGTGTGTGACATCACCAGTATCCGTATACCGGTGTTTGTGGCATCTCAAGTATCTTTATGCCGATTGTTTTAGGCATCTCAAGTATCATTATGCCGGTTGTTTATGACATTACCTGTATCGTTATACCGGTTGTTTATGGCATCTGTGCCAATGCAGTTTACAGTTGTCTAGGATACCACCAGTATCATGTGCTACATGAAATCTAAAAGTAGGCACATTTGAAGGGAAAATTCTTTATAAGTAACCATTTTCGTGAAATGTAGTAAGAAAACAAGTAAAATTAAATGGCTTACGTAGTAGACAAAAATAGGGATACTTGGCATGCCATAAACAACTTGCATAAGGATACTTGAGATGCCATAAACAACCGTTATGCGGATACTGGTGATGCCACACACAACCGATAAGATATTATAATATGTGTTTGAAACAATTCGAATGTATTAATTACAGAGGTAGAGCATAAGTACTTATTTCTATAAAACAGAGAATAACTAATACTGAATACAAGGAAGCAATCGGATAAAATGCGACTAGTCTTCACGCTGATGCCATCCACAGTTCATTTTATGCCTGTGTGTGTGTGACATCACCAGTATCATATAACCGGCTGTGTATGGCATCGCCAGTATCATATTACGGACTGTGTATGGCACAATCAGTATCACAAGTGCTTGTCACCAAACCAAACCATGCCCGTCTTAGTTTTCTTGTCGCGTACAGTTAAAATCGATATGTTATTAGAGATATGTAAATATCAAAATGTCGGTTATCTACAAGATACGTTAATTTGGTTTAAGTACAACATTAAAAATGGGTTTTACATAGATTAAGCCTGTTCCCCAATCCCATTGTATCCTAAATAAAAATATCTTTTAAAAACTAACTATTAAGATGAATGGTTTACCAAGTTCTTATTTCACAAAGTCAGGTTCAGATTGTAAAGATAGTTTGTAGGTCAAGGTCACACACGCCCACAAGCATGCTCTTTGCCTGTTCCATCACAGCAAGATCTTTAGTGTTCACTAAAATGCGGGAGCCGTGGTGGCTCAGAGAGTAAGACGTTGGCTCTCTAACCTGGCGGTCCCGTGTTTAATCCATGTGTTCGTCAAGAAGGTTCATCGATATTTTCTGGCATAGTCCCTGCATGACAGTGATGCAGGGCAAAGGGCCTGACAAGGGACAACGTATAGTCGTTCGGATAGGATAAAAACCCGAGGCCCCGTGTACACATTGGAGTGCACGTAAAAAATCCCTTGTTATCAAGGGCAAAAATTCCCTCATAGCACACTGTATGGCGTCTGTACGTCTTATATAGCCCATTCGGAGTAGAACAGTAGGACGTTAAACCCTATTTAATTTCATTTCATTAAAGAAAATGCGCATTGTCAACTTTAAAAACTAATAGATCCCGAGAAATTACCCACGGTGTTCATGTAAACAACATATGTCGTCCTTGAATCAACAGATTTGTTCATTAACTCTGGGGTTCATTGTGTTTACAAGAATTATCGTCTACACGCTGGTCCAATCATTCCAGCTACAGTAGTTTGAAGGTAACTCTAACCCGTGGACGGGCATGCGTGACGATAGTATACCAACCATTATTATGTTGGTTTATAACAATCTATATATTTTGATCCAGCTATTAAATGACATCGGTACATACCATATGCCATTTAAATAAATTTAATGTCAATATACCCAGGTCTCACACAGGACCTGTTCTAACTGAACAGTAGCTTAGAACTTTAGGTCTATTTCCTTTCACGAAGGGCCTGTGCTGACTGAACAGTAGCCTAGAACTTTAGGTCCATTCCCTTTCACATAGGTAACTTTTCCTTCACTATATTTATACTTCATCTTTCCACACCATGAATTGGCTGATAATCTACCATTACTAGGAAGAGACTCGAGCTGTTCATGAAAAAGAAGAAACAAGAACACATATTTTGAATTATGTGAGTCTATCAACATGAACTAATATCTGTTCGAGAACACGATACTTCCATAATAGTGATACCCAAATATGATATTTCTTATTTCTATAGTTATGTACACTGCTATATGTTTTGTATTTATAAACTTAAGAATCACATTTGCTTAATTATAACAGAAATAACACGATGTTCGCCTTTATTTGCGGATGTTTAGATTAGCTTTAGACATATAGGTTCATTGGATATAGGTTTAAATCAACACTAGGTATCATCAATGCATAAGCGAAATGATAGTCCATATTTCCCCAAAAGATTTTCTGGTGTGTGGTGTACAGACTGAATAGTATAGGATCAAGTACTAATCCCTGGAGACGATGAGTGTGAATTAAGACAACTCGCTTTCCACAATTTTCAAGATATGAAGCAATACGGTTGAGCGTAGAGTCAGATATAAGAAAAAGATATGACAAAATTCGTATTTAGAAATCGTTTTTCCACTTTCAGACAAGTATCTTTTGAATTTCTTTATGCCCCCCTCTCCCACCTGGTTTATTGTCCAAAGACCAGATGATATGAAACCATGTAAACCTGACATCCATAGGCGCTAAGCCAATAATATCCTAATCAGAATACTGTATGATGATCTGAAACTGACTAAAGTACAAAATAGGCCGTGATCTTAAACTCAATGCTTTCCCCTTTGTTTTGTTTTTAAATACAGAACACGTTTCTTACCTCAGTTTCTTGAGTGTTTCTCCTGGAGTAACGAAATTTACTTATAGAGTATGTAGAATATGCATCAGCTGGCATATTACGTCGTCCACATATAACGTTATTTAAATGTCGACAGAATGTTTGTTTAAATAGTTTAGTTGTTAATGTATATAATAAAGGATTAAGGGCACTATTCACTGGTAATATAAATATCACAACCCAGCTGTACAAGTTACCACCTATATCCAAACCTGAAATATAAAATAATCTGTATAAGTCTCAATTCTTGTTGAAATTTTATTGCACGTCTTAGCTATATGAACAAGAAGCTTTATTTTAACATAAAGAGTGTGGAATGACAGTTGGTTTAAAACAAGATTTGTAGTTTATAAAAGTCTCAAATATCGAAAGGTGTTCCGAATAGGACCTAATTCCTAGAAATTAAGAAATTGAAAGGTATCTATGATCTAGTTGTGTTCTGGGTTTTTGTATTCAATTACACTATCAGTGAAATTTCAACTAAGTTTCGGAAAAAATAAAACCTTGAGGCTGATTGATCTGATGTGTTATTTCGATTAGTAGTTTGATATGTCGTACACGATTAAATTATCATCTCTGAATTCTGTTTGTTAAGTTTGACATACTTACCGCCGTAATCTCAAAATAAGGCGTGGATAAGACTTTTATTCGTTTCGTTTTATTGTTTGCAATTTTGAAAAAAACAGCAGTTGAAACTCCTTATTAACAGTTTCATATAATCAGAGTCACTGCTGTTCGAGCGGTTGACGTCGACTCCATTATACATTTGACTTTAGTTAACATAATAACATTACAGCAGGACCGTAACTAGCTCAGTGCAACGAGGAGGAGGGGGGGGGGGGTGTTCTCAGGATAATGTATATCTATTTCTTTTATGGTCGAAAAAATTTTCAAAGGTGGGCGGGGGGCGAAACTTTTTTCGCCCCCCCCCCCGCCTCTGCGCCCCCTAATTACGGACCTGCATTACAGAATGATAGAACGTTGAAAATAAGTTAGAAACACAAGTGATTTTAATCGAATTGTTGACACATCATTTAATGAACGACAACAAATAGAATACCTGAAACGTATAAAAGTGGAAAGATTGAACCAATTTATTTTCCAGACACATTAAGTGTAATTCTAAAGAAATATACTGATGTAACTTGATTATTTTCAAATGTCATATACCAAAGATAGGTGTGATTCATTAAATTTAATCATTTGTATAAAACTCGTGACATAAACTACTTATTTCTGGTATGCTGTCATTCTCTAGGTGGATCTAAATAAAATTCTCAAAGATATCTAAATAATTAGTACGACGCATCTCCGGACACCACCCCAACCCATATTATACATTTATTCCAAACAATTCATAAATATAGAATAGGTATCAAAGTAAATTTTGACATATTGGTCTCTGACATTTTTCCGGTATCCTCGAAGGTTGTACAAGATCATTATGAACTTCTTTTTTAATTAGATTAATTACAAAAAAGGCATTCAAAAGAATATCTTACCCACAAAAGCAGCCACCTTTAAACAAATGATAGGCATCCAGCAGATGAAATCTGTTAAAACAATGAGGGAGAATCGTTTCATCAAGCTTCTCTCTTGTTCATCGTGTGTACTACGAAACAACATCCTAGACTGACGAATTGATGCGAACATTGAGCAATACGCATACGTTATAAAAGTGAAAGACACAAAATTTAAACCGAGAAACATGAAAGCTGAATATTCCCAACCTCTACTCCACGGTTCGTGTAATAATAAAGGTATACACACGGCATTGTTCCGGTAAAAATAGTTGCCAAAATATGTAAAACCCATCACCGGAAGTACTGCCAAAGCGAGACTCAAAGTCCATATGAGCGCCATCACAGAATAAGCCAGGCGTATGTTCCTTTTTCTTAGCGAAAGTGGGTACGTAATACACATATAACGATCTAGTGTTATTAAAGTTAATGTTAAAACGGACACCTCACTACTTATTGTGCTCAACATCCCACTGACGTCACATCCCCAGCTATTTCTCCATTTATAGTCATAAAATAAGTAGCGACCTCTATATCGCATATCATGTGTACCAATTACTATTAAATACATCCCCATAACAAGATCCGCAAACGATAAATTTTTAATAAAAAAGGAATGAATCTGGTTGTCTTCACGGATAAAGAAGCGTCCAAGAAGCACTGCGAGGTTTCCAAAACAGGCCAAGATGGCCACTATCCAAACAGTCACACGTAGTATATGACTTTCTAGAAGATTATATTGACTTGATATTCCGTCGCCTTGTGGGTAACATCTTTCAAATCTGGTAATAAAGGCGCACATGTAAAAGGCATCAAAATATCTGAAATAAATTATAATAATGCATTGTTTATGATGAAGGAAATTTATAAAATATATTGCGTGCGATTTTCAGTTCATCTTGTATATTTCTGTCCACAATATCAGCACATGGTTTAACAAAACTGGTTGTTATCCATAATTCCAATAATATTGGCCCATTTCAATCAATATATACTATTCAAAAAAAGTAGGGGATATTTGATTTTGGGGGCATAATACTAAAATATGCAAATGACTACGAAAAAAGTCACTATAGAACCTAACAGAAGAAACATTTCCAGTTACATGTGACGCCCAAACGCACCAATAGCTACCACATGGAATGCAGGTGATGCTTGGGATCATCATGGGGATTCCAACCTAAGATTTGCACGACATTCATTGTGGCATTGAATTCCAGGGTGGAAACATCAGTTTAATTGTTTTAGTGACCAGAAAACAAATTTTGATATGCGTCGGCTTACCCAAAATGAAAGGTTACGTGCCCTTGGCATGCTACAGATCGGCACAACACAGGCGGTTGTGGCGCGGACGATGAATGTTTCTCAGTCTGTCATAAGCAGGCTATGGTCCAGATACCGTGATACACAATCTGTACAGGACAGACCACGCTCAGGTCGACCAAGGGCGACAACTCAAGCCCAGGATCGATTTATCCGTACCTTGGCCTTGAGAAATCGTGTCATCACAGCAAATCAGATCAGCGCTCGTCTTCAAACATACACTGGTGTGAGAGTGAGTGGCCAGACGATTCGGAATCGACTGCATAGGGGTCACCTTTGCGCCCGACGTCCTCGCGTGATCCCTTGTTTGAGAGATCATCACATTCAGGCAAGACGTCGTTGGTGTAGGGATCGTCAACACTGGGATAATCGACGCTGGAGCAATGTGATGTTTTCAAATGAGTCAAGGTTCACTGTTGATTTTTTGGACAGACGTAGGAGGGTGTGGCGTCGTCGAAACGAGCGCTTCCAAGACGTTAACGTCATCAGACATGATCGATTTGGGGGTGGTTCTGTTATGGTGTGGGGAGGCATCACTGTTGCTGGAAGAACGGCTTTACATGTTGTTGCAGGGCGTGTTACAGGCCAGTACTACCGGGACAACATCTTGGCAGTCCATGTTGTGCCGTTCGCACGACGTCATGGCCGCCGTTTCATCTTCCAGGATGACAACGCAAGATGTCACAGGGCCAGGATCGTTACAGGTTACCTCCAACAACAGAACATCACCACATTACCTTGGCCAGCACTGAGTCCCGACCTCTCCCCCATCGAGCATGTCTGGGACATGCTTGGACAGAGGTTACGTCAACGTCAACAACGTCCTGCCAATGTCCAAGAACTTGCTGCTGCGTTGCAACAGGAATGGGACAATCTGGACCAAAATGACCTTAGACGTCTCATTAGGAGTATGCCACGTCGGATCAATGCTTGTTTGGCAAACAGAGGAGGATTTTCCCGTTACTGACTTGGTTGTGATGCTGTGGTAACTTTGCTGTTTGACCCCGGGTATCATTTTACCCTTATAATGGTCAGTCTGTGCCTTACTTAGTCTAACGATCATTTGGAATAAATCGATGAATGTGAACTTCATTTCATTTTGTCATTTGTTTCTTCGTCAGTTTCATTAGGTGACTTTAATAACACTTAAAAATCAAATATCCCCTACTTTTTTTGAATAGTATAGATGTTGTTATCTTGCCTTGAAAACACAGATTCCTAATATACAATATTTAAGACAAGTGTGTATCACGCGGAGAAATAAGGGGGTCTGAGAAGAAATTTTGGGATTGTGGGATATCTTCTGTTGAAAAACACCACGTTCAAAACAAAATCTTGTGGAATGTGGTACCACACGGAGAGGGGGGGGGGGCTGAGAAGATAGCATGTGGAGATCTTGTGGAGAGAAACAGCACGACACAAACACAAAATTACATACACAGATTTATTTAGTCGAATTCCACGCATAAGTCCCAAACCTTGTCATAATTGCCATGATGAACACTTTAAAATATCTCACAGTAGTCTCGCAAGTCAATCAGGAAGTAATTAAAATGGCTGATACACAAACGACCTTAGAAGGTGAACATAAACTTGCTGACGGGATTAACCAGGCGAAAATGATTGTCATTCAATTTTAGACTGCTAGCGTAGTTCATCGAACAAGGCTAATTAGAAATTGCAATAAAAATGTAAACAATTGGATGTAACTCAGTTTATACATTCAAAGCAAACTTATAATATGTGTTTTCGTCTATTTTAAGATTCGGAAGAATAGAGCAATAAGCCCTTTTCAGCAGTAACGTGAGTCTTGCAAGAAGCAGGATATGTTTACTTTGTCAAGAAGGCATCTTATCATATGAGGTGTTGACATAACGTTTTGTTATGTTTTTATTATTTTAAATTATTTAAATTATAGTAATCATTCTGGTGTGTCTATTGCTACAAAACACTGTTCTTTTATTCTATTATACTTACATGTCTTGGAGGTTTGTTAATGGTTCAAATGTGTGATTTGCAACTTCCCGGAAACTGTTCTTCCGTAAATCACTGTTAAAAATAAAATAACCAGCCATTTGCAAGGAAAATGCTGCTGAAGTTAATTAATTAACGCACACAATTTACAAATACAAACACAATTCTGAATTAAATAAATAGTTACAACTTTTGCGTCAGATGTGTCTATGTCTTTTTTTTGGATAATGCTTTCTCCCGTCGTTAAAAATTTCTACAGTTTGAGAAGAATTATTTTCAGACTTTATACGTCAATACTTATGTCAAACATATAAATAATGGCACGCGCCATACAGAGATGGTTCGAAAATATTAATGCGAACGGAATACTTACAGTGAACTGAGATTAGAAAGTGGTTTCATAGCTGTATCATCAATCCAAGATATCTGATTCTGATGAAGATCTCTGGGGAACAAAAACACCAAACATTGAGTTATTGATAAAACGAAAAAACAGATTGTATAAGCAAGGTTATATCTGAAATAAATAAAGGCCCCTTTTAAACTGTTTAAATGGCACTGAACAGGAAACATACAGGACATAAGTCTATAAAATACAATTATCGTTTTTTATACTGAACGACGTTTCAGCGACAGGATTCTTTGGTCTTTGTCATTTTGTTGATAAAGACTACATTATTCAAGGCGGAATGTGGCCCAGTAATCAAGAATAATTGTATTCCATAGAATTGTGTCAGGCATGCTAACAACTATTCAGATAAAATCGGTAAACCCACTAAGTAACGATATAGATATTAATAACCGCAGTAGCAACGTCAAAGCTTATCTTGTTCAAAATAATAAAGCAATTTATAAGCAAATATCTATTATTCCAAAAATCCACCGGTTTGTTCAAAAGTCGGGGGATTACTGTAATGCAGCGTTTGTTTTTAGTATTTTACTTACAAGAAAGTTAAGTTCTGTAAACCAACAAAGGTATTAACGTATATCTTCTCTATGAGATTTTCAGCTAAGCTCCTGAAATCACAAATGGATGATTATGAATTAGCTACTTGTCGAATAAATATTTCAACCAGTACCAATTGATAGAAATGATAGCCCTTCTTGCTGTAGACAAGAAACAATAATTTCAAGAAAACTTACCATATAACAGCTATCACTTTATAAACGCGACGAAAATTTAAGTGATATGATCGTTAATTCTGAGCTCTATTCGTTACCTCTCGTATTTTTCGGATACTTGTGTTCAACGGGGGTCGGGGATCAGGGGTCGGGGTGTCATTATTACATGATGTGTGGACTATTTTCATGAGGCGAAATATCTGATTATAATTTTAAGGAATTGACAAAAAGGGATTGGCATCGCAAATGCGACACACAAATCGGTGCTCTATTTCCTGCAGAGGTAGCGAATACAACATCAGGTCATTAAACAAATGCCTTAAGAGGGTATTTTCTATTAGAATGTAAGGAAGCTCTTTTTGGTCTTTTCTAGATTAAACAATGGTGAACAGTGGGGCGATAATAATGTTTAACTTACAAACTTGTTAGTTTTTCCAATGACAGAAACGAACTGGAAGCGACATAGTGTATCCTGTTACCATAAAGTGATCTGTTTAAAATAGACAAAATGGGGTAAATTGTCTTTTGAACATAATTATAACATCATCAGGTTTTATAGACGACTAGCGCTGATGGATGAATATCAACAGAATGTCTGCAAAACACATTTGATTAAATCAGTTTTCTAAAACAAACTAAAGATAGCATAAATGGGGATGTCTGAGCAGTGGATTCACATAAACACTGCTCTTCCTCCTTGTTTTTTTTATATTGGCGAATCTCGAAAAACGAGCTACTAGTTTTTCGATGTTCAGTTCCAATATGGAAAAACAAGTAGCTCGTTTTTCGGCATTCGCCAATATCAAAAAACAAGGAGAAAGATCATTTTTTATTTGAATCCACTGCTCAGACATCCTCATTGATGATATCTTTACTTCAATTTAGAAAACTTCTTTAATTAAATGTGTTTTGGAGACATTATCTAACTATACATCCATCGAATTTGCTTTTCCGAGATTCAAGTTTGAATATCGAAAAACGAGTAGCTTTATATAACAATAACAAAAAGGGACATGTAAATGACATTAAAGTTTATACAGAATATGTCAAATACAACAGTAAATAAAAGAGGGAAAGACGGTGAAGGTGAAACACCAAAACGAGAAAGTAAAACTAATAAGATGGAAGACGATATTACAGATTCTCCACAACCCAGATCTATGAAGTGGTGATGAAAAATAGTGGCAGAATTGTGTGAAAAACAAATATTTGAAGATAAATTTTAAACGTGATTTAATAAACAATATTGACACAAAAGTGAATATATTACATGACGAGATATCAAAAGACATGGCTTAAGAGCGAGACAGGATTGACCAAGTTGTTAATACTGTTCAAGGTATACAAGCCAGAGTATCTGAAATTGAAAAGGCTGGCCACAATACTACTACTCAC